CTAACCGGAAGAGTATCCGATTTATATTAAGCATCAATTTGCATGACAGCTAGTGAATACATTACATCCCACCATTTCCAAGCTCAGCTGTAGTAATGATCATAATTAGTTATAGCGTACTACTTCCTATATATAAACACATGCATATGTGCATATTATAGATGTTGCTGTGCAAACGTCTGCCGGCGACTTTATACCACTCGAATAAGTTTGATTAAAAGCCCGTGTTAAATATTTATATGTACATATGTATTCGAATGTATGTTTGTATTCATTTGTAATTTTACTATTACACAGCTCTAAAACATGCAAAAAAATGTAATTACATTTAACCGTAAAAATATAACTAGTACAATTAGTTTACGGGTAATGTTTTGTGAATAAAAAATGTTTTATAATTCTAATATGCCACACCGAAAGGATTTACCTGAACATTATTGTTTAAATTAAGTGTAATCAACATAATTTCATCTTTATTATTAGATTTTGTATAGTTTAAAATCAAGAGCGCTTCACAATCGCCATCAAGCGTTTTATGAAAGCTGCAATATTTATTTAACTCGGGCTGAATCAGTCGAATGTTGATGAAAATGTTATCCATTTTAGGAATAAGAGGTGTGTGCATTCAGATTAGGTAGATCTGATTATTTAAGATCGTGAAAGATTATTCGCTTCGGATCGTAATCTAAGATAAGATATGTTGCAGTTCAATTGCATTTATTTAAACCATACAAGTTTATAGATTTGTGTCTATCGCTGATTAAAATAACTAAAATGCCACTAAAGATAGGTTTAACGAAACTGTTTACTGACAAAAGTATTACAAACTTTTTTAAACAAAATAACAAAAGTACCACTCCATATTTAGTTGTGCTAAAAAATTTTTAAGTGTGTGCTTTCGATAAGCGTGTAGAGAAAAAGATAAGAGCGTGTGTGATAAGTCGCATATTTGCGATTAAAATAAAACCTGATCAGGTGCACATAATTGTTGGTTCTTTTTGATATAATTTTTTACAATACATACGAAATCTTAATTGCATTTTACATTCGAAATTGTCAGTAAGTTACAATATTTTCGTGTTTTAACGCAATGGGAGACATTAATGGCGAATAGACCTATACATACATGCTAAAATGAAAGCGTGGAGTATAAATACGAAACCGTTTACTTAATTAAATAATATACATATACAACAATTTACGTAAAGAAATAAACAAAGTATTTATCTAGAAAACGAACAGCGGAATGATTAGTGAAAAATGTGTTTCGTAATTATCTTTCATTAATGACATACCTATGATAGAATCGTAATAAATAGAAAGAGAGCTAAATATTTTCTTAACTTATTTATTACTTCACAATTCGTGATTATATGTACATACGTCTATAGGTTATAATTTTTTATTACTTATTTGTTTATTATTTTTTTATTATTATTATTATAACTTCTGTACTCTTTTTCCAATCAATTGAAATTACATAACTATTACTATGACTTATGTTATAATCAACTATATTACTTATGGCGCTTTAGTTAAGAAGTACATGTAAAGAAATACCATATTGAATAAAATATTTATTAAAAAAAACTTTATATAAAAAATAAAATTTGTGTAATATATTGTAAATATTTTAATGACAGAACCACAAATCTTTACATTTACAGAAATCCGTTAATCTTGTATCATATAATTTTTGTTTTTATTATTTCAATCCGTTTACATAATTTTTAATCCAAATTAATATTAAACAACTTTTTATAAAAGTTAAACTCACGTAAAATTCATAACTGTTATTCGTTTGTATATTTCCAGCTACGCACCGCCTCTGTTGTGCCACAGCGTGAACTGCACATTACACATGGCAAAAATGATGCCAAAGTACGCACCGATGCCATTTCCAAAGAGTACCCAATTGTCGATCACAGTTACGATGCCATTGTTGTTGGCGCTGGTGGTGCCGGTCTGCGTGCCGCTTTCGGTTTGGTGGCTGAAGGTTTCAAAACAGCTGTCATCTCCAAACTCTTTCCCACCCGTTCGCACACAATTGCCGCACAGGGCGGTATTAATGCGGCGCTCGGCAATATGGAAGACGACGACTGGAAATGGCACATGTACGATACGGTGAAGGGTTCCGATTGGCTTGGCGATCAAGATGCCATTCACTATATGACACGCGAGGCACCACAAGCTGTCATTGAATTGGAAAATTACGGTATGCCTTTCTCGCGCACACCCGAGGGTAAAATCTATCAACGCGCTTTCGGTGGTCAAAGTTTGAAATTCGGTAAGGGTGGTCAAGCGCATCGTTGCTGCGCCGTAGCGGATCGTACAGGTCACTCGCTGCTGCACACACTATACGGACAGTCGTTGAGCTACGATTGCAATTACTTCGTCGAATATTTCGCATTGGATTTAATATTTGAGGATGACAAGTGCAAAGGTGTGTTGGCGCTCAATCTTGAAGATGGCACACTACATCGTTTCCGAGCACACAACACTGTCATTGCGACCGGTGGCTATGGACGTGCTTTCTTCTCGTGCACATCAGCGCATACGTGTACTGGTGACGGTAGCGCAATGGTCGCACGCCAAGGCTTGCCCATACAGGATTTGGAATTCGTGCAATTCCATCCGACCGGTATCTATGGCGCCGGTTGTTTAATTACTGAGGGTTGTCGCGGTGAAGGTGGCTACTTGGTCAACTCAAAGGGTGAACGTTTTATGGAGCGTTATGCACCAGTTGCCAAGGATCTCGCTTCACGTGATGTGGTGTCACGTTCAATGACCATCGAAATCATGGAAGGTCGTGGTGTCGGACCCGAAAAGGATCACGTTTTCCTGCAATTGCATCATTTGCCACCAGAGCAATTGGCACAACGTTTGCCAGGCATCTCCGAGACCGCAATGATCTTTGCCGGCGTAGATGTGACACGTGAACCCATCCCAGTGCTGCCGACAGTGCATTACAATATGGGTGGCATCCCAACAAACTACAAGGGCCAAGTATTGACCATCGATGAGAACGGCTGTGATGTTGTAGTGCCCGGTTTGTATGCCGCCGGTGAGGCTGCCAGTTCGTCTGTGCACGGTGCCAATCGTTTGGGCGCGAATTCACTGTTGGACTTGGTCGTGTTTGGTCGTGCTTGCGCGCTTACGATTGCCGAAGAGAACAAGCCCGGCGTGCCAGCTCCCAGTTTGAAGGATGTGAGTGAAATTGGCAATTAACTGAAATATTTATCTGTATGTATGAAATAAAAAATTAAAATTTGTTTCATAGAATGCTGGTGAGATGTCGGTTGCTAATTTGGATAAAATTAAGAACAATAATGGCAAGATTACCACCGCCGATTTACGTTTGAAAATGCAAAAGACAATGCAGGGTCACGCTGCCGTGTTCCGTGATGGCCCCATATTGAAGAAAGGTTGCGAGAAGATGGTGGAGATCTACAAAGAGTTCCAAGATGTCAAAGTTATTGACAAGTAAGTCTAAACTACCAATTTATCTCTTGTGTAGCTGTTTATATTGAGTTAAACTCATCGCATTTAGATCGAATGTGTGGAACTCCGATTTGGCTGAAACGCTCGAATTACAAAATCTTTTGGCCAACGCTCAAATGACTATTGTTGCAGCTGAAAATCGCAAAGAGTCGCGTGGTGCACATGCGCGCGAGGACTACAAGATACGTATCGATGAATATGTAAGTAGTTTTTTTTTTTTTGTTTTCGCAGCCGTTTTTTGTTTTACTCAATAATTAAATTTTAACACATAGGATTTCAGCAAGCCTGTTGATGGTCAACAGAAGATACCATTGGACGAACATTGGCGCAAACATACTTTGACATGGGTATGCGGCGATGCTGGCGATATCAAAATCAAGTACCGCCCAGTCATTGATAAGACTTTGGATGATACCGTACAAACTGTGCCACCAGCAATACGTTCCTATTAATTAAACTTTAGTAATTAAATGGATCAACGTAATCATCAACACTACAAATTGCGTAGGAGTGGCGTACATTTGTATTTACATGTCATCTTTAAGTAATTCGCTGAATAATCATTTTGATTTGTGAAAAGTTCTAAACGCGCTGTTTCTATGCAACTATATTGAGATAAGCTATATAAGCAGCAAACTAAACACCTTCCCTTTATTTTATGCAACTTATGTAATTTATTGACGAAATGCGTATAATGTTTTCTGCCCTCCAAACCGCACAGAGGCACACATACACTCACTTATCTACACGCAACACTTCTAAAAGTATCTTGCATTGTATACTTAATGATGACTTTTAGGACGGAAACAATCAATTATGTTTTTATTTACTTAATAGTTTTATTTTTTTTTAGCTTATAATTAGAACGCGGTAAAGCCAAGTAGAGTCGCCTTAACGTAACGCATTCGTTGAAAAAAATCTAACACTGTCTTTAAATAATTTAAAACTTCATGATATTCTGCTAGAAGTGGTGTGTTGTGTATTTGTAGTATGTTTTTTGCTACTTCTAGTGATTTGTTAAAATTTTATTAAATTATATACGTAAATATAAAAACAAAAATATTTAACGATAATGAAAAGAGGAAGGAAAAATTGTACATGAAAGTTAATTAAATAATAAAGCGTCAAGAATGAATATTTTTAATTTGGAAACTATTATTTATTTCATCAGTAATCCACAAATCATTCCTTTCAAGTTTTAGCTAGTTGCTTAGTTGAGAGTTGTAAATAATGCATAAAAAAATAATTGAATTAACAATTGCACTATTTTTTTTTTTTAATTTAGTAATCTTAATTATTAAATCTTAACAAAAAATAATTTTTAAATTATTAATGCCGAACACTGGATTGAAAAAATTCAACCCTAAATACGGGGTTAAAAAATAATTTATAAAAATTTGAATCTTAAAAACCGTATTGAAAATTTATTTATAATTTTTAACTCAAAATACCTTATTAATCCCAAGCTTATAACTATAATTAAAAAATAAATTGTTTTAGAATCTACAAGGTTTCGTGTTTGCGTACTTCTACTATTTTGAACTAGAGCTCGCACAAAGCTATCATTTTCAAAACTCTAAAACAGTGGTCGGCGATATAGGGTTATATATATATAAATGATCAGAATGAAGAGACGAGTGACTGTCTGTCTGTCCGTTCGTCCGTGGAAGCGATAAGTTGAGTAAATGAAACTTGGTGCAGGTGTTCCTTGGCAAAAAAGTGTGGACAAGTTCGTGGATGGGCGTAATTGGATCACTGCTACGTCCACAAAACGCCATTAATCGAAAACCTATAAATTGCCAAACTAAGGCGTAAATTAAGATACAAATCTCCCAAACGATTCAAGTTATATCACCCAAATTTTCATAGGACATATCATTTCCACACCTCTTGCGACAGCATGGAAATAGGTGAAATCGAATGATAACCACGTCCACTCCCTTTATTGAAGCAGGTGTCAAAATTGGCCAGTGGACGTGGCACCACACACATTTAGGTGAAATCTTATATCTCTGCTTTAAACTCTTATCTGATTTTTTCACTTTCCAGTATACAAATCAAGCACTAATTAAGTTATCGGGTTATAAATTTGCATGAATTTTGCCATCTCAGATCTAAAAATTGTCAAAATCGGTTACCGGAAATATGGGCCCCAGAGCTTATGGCTGACTTCTTGCCGAAAATATCGGTCAATATGTGAGATACGTAATTAAAATTCAGGGAAAATTTTTTGTTTTTTGATAATAATAAACTCTTGTGTCAAAAATGGATTGAATTGATCAATAATTCCCTTAGACCCTATATACTGATATGAAGATTTTCGAACTTCTCGCTGACCTTATACCACATTGTGAGCGCTATTTTGATAAAATTGAGATCGCATATTTTTCTAATAACAGTGTTCTTTGTGCCTAAAATGAATAAAATCGGGCGAAAACTTGCTTTAGCTCCCATATAACTGATATTCACGATTTTGATACATCTGGCTGCCTTTACTCCATATATGGTGTGATTGAAAATAAGTTCTCAAATATACCTAAGCAATGTTAAAAGTTAATGCTATTTTCATTTCTATGCCCCCAATGATTTTAATAAAATTTTCTCTGGCGGGAAGTAAAATATAGTAGTAAGACAAAGTGAGCCAATGAACTTAAAATAAGTGAATATGATACTAAATTTTATTGTGATCAATTAACCATTTCGTCGAATAATGAAATTGAACTTTTTCGCTACATTTCTTAATATAAAGTTTTGCCAACACCTGAAGGTATTTCCCCGGTTTTGATCCTTGAAAGTTGCAAGAGTATGAAATGTTCGGTTACACTCGAACTTGGACTTTTTTTACTTGTTTTTTATATATTTTTAATCCAAGATGTTGGGATATAATTTTTATTTAAAAAATTCGTGACTAGTTTAGTTAAAAATATTTTTACAAAATAGAAAAAATAGACAAAACTAAAATAACAACAAAAATAATGTACTACAGTTATATACTAATTTGTCCACCTTTCGACTTAATATTCTATATAAAAACAGCAACTTGATTCAACCCTGAAAAATATGTAAATTTTCCAAATTAAATTTCAACTCCTGTAATATGTTCTGAGCTGCTTGGCTAAATGCTCTAGGTCCACATACAGCCACAAAACTGGCATATTCTGATGTATTTTTCGTCATTAGCGGAGCGAGTAGCTCGTTGCATATCCGTCCACGTAAACCGGTCCATTCTCCGTCGGGTGCGGAAAGCACATTCACGAATTGGAATCTGCAGATATTATAATGTATATATTATACATACATATGTATATAACAAATACAAATACTTTAGTGTATAATACAGTTTCTATCACATTTACTTCCTCACCTCTCATCAGTTATTTGCAGCTGTTCCAGCTCATTGCGACACCATATGTCTGCCGGCGTTTTATTGAAGTACATTAAACGTAAGTAGTCGCTATAAAAGTCACAAAGTGTGAAATTTAGCATTCGTTATTGCTCTAAACTTCTTTTTTTTATTTATATGTATATATTAGAAGTTGCTAAAACAATTGTTAGTAACTGGTGCATGAGAAAGTCCCACGTATTTATTAAAGGCGTGATCAAAAGAAAGTCATGCCTATCGCGCAAATATAATTTTTATCACATTTATATATGTATATACATATATTCAATGGAAAGCTTAGATATGGAAGACTTAAAGCGTGTAATTTGTTAGTTAATATGCAATATATATAGTTTTCACTCACATTCGGTTTGCATTTCGTTTAAGCAAATGTTCAATTAAATTTAGCATGGGAGTCAGACCACTGCCAGCAGCGATAAGAGCTATTTGACGATGCGGTAGTAAACGTTGTAGACGAAAATTGCCCTGTGGTGTTGAGATTAGTAACATCTGACCGATTTGCTTCCGACGCAAATGCGTCGATAGTATGCCCTCAGCGTAGCTTTTAATAAGGAAATTTAAATTTGTACTATTGCTTTCATTGTCAACATGAGATTGTGGCAGAATTTTGCCGGGAACAGGTGTGTAACTGCGACGGGTCAAATCGCCTGTGAGTACATATATTTAAAAATATTACTGAAGTCTTTTTTAAATTCACTTACATTTAGAACATTTATATTCTTACCATTTATTAGCGCCGCCACAGTCATGTGATAACCAATAGGTAGCACCATCAATGTGTCTTGTACACCACGTAAGCGTAACACGAATGAATCATGATTAAAATCCGTACATTTTACAACTTCATATTCATAATGCAAATCCTCTGATTCACCCACTACACCTTTGGATAGAGTGTGTGCTCCATACGTCGGCCATAGAGCAGGCTCTACTTTAGTGAGCGATACTTCAATTTTACCTGTCTCACTACCAACACGCACCGATTTCGGTGGCCAATCTACTTCTTTATGTAGCTCGAATTCGAAATTATGTTCAGCGCTGTCTATATGCACTTGCAGTTGCATTAGCTTGGCACATTTTCGACTCAAAAGCAGACCAGGATTGCAAAGTTGGCGTGTATAAATATAGACTGTGAGGTCTTGTCGTTTCTGTATCCAGTCAAAACGTGGTACAATTTCGGTGTTTGCGATTACCGGTTTATTGCTGGACGGTGTTTTAAAGTTTGCTGTGGGAACCGGTGTTCTCCCTTCTGGTATGGAACTCATTTTGGACAACGTACGCAGTGGACCAATAAAGCATTTCACCAACAATTGCTGATAGTTTACCCAGGCATGTACCTCATCGAAAAATTTTGTGGCATCGCGTCCAACGCCACGCATTAGCTCGTCAACACCTGAGTAGAGTTAAGAAATAAATATTATTTTGCTTTTCAAATTTGGCACATTTAACTCACCACCAGGATGAAAATCCAGGTAACGCGTCACATTGTACACCTTGCCACGTATCGCCATCCAAGCATCTTCGCGTGTATTATGTCGAGCCAACTCGTCGCTATTTACTGGCGTTACACGTCCACGCGTGCCTGCTAAGTCTATGCCTGAGTTACCAAGTCGTATCCAATCCATTAGCGAGTGACCAGGCTTGAGCGCACATTTGTTACGTGGATTGCCTGTAGCGGAGCCTGAATTAAGTTTTTGTGGTGCAGTGTTTGCAGGAGCTAGCATTTGACCGACGGTTGTTGTTGTTGGGGGTAGCAGATTGCTCATTGATGTTTTCTTATTTATATCAGACATGCTGTATTAAAAATTATAGATGGAAAACAAAAAAAATTAATGATTTTAAAAATTTAATACAAAACAAACAAAATATCACTTTAGGATATTAAATATACTTCAATTAAGTAAGTCGTATAATTTTTATTTCCTTTTTTGCCTTGCCAGACCTTATAAAAATACGTTTCCGTTATTATACGAGTATTTTATAATAATATGGTATCTCATTTCCGTCAAGATTCCTATACAACATATCAGACCTTATATATGTATATCTTCGAATTTTTCAAACAAACATTATCGTGTGAGTTTTTTTCACTTCAGTTTGTTTTATCAATTAAAAAATAATTATTCTGCTAATAAGCATTCACTTGCTAAATACTCTGGCATCACAAGCCAATTTCAACAACGAGTAAACTTATATTTTATTGTGCTTTTGGGTGCTCGTTCTTCACAGCTATTCTGCATGTACAAAGCTAGCAGCAGCTAGCAGTTATTCAGTTTTTAGCGAGTCGTTGCGTTAATGAAATGTGAGTTGGGTTTTTGGGTTTTAAATAAATAATTATAATATGCATATTTAATTTTTTACGGAAACGCTTATATTGCAAATATTTTATAATTAATACTTTATTTGTGTGAGATTGTGTGATATAAAATGAAGAATGCGGAAAAGGAATTTGGTGAAAGTGAAAGAAGAGTTATACCGGTTACGAATAGCTTGTGTGTTAAATGATTTTTAGTGAAAGAAAGAAACAAAAAGTGCTATGAAAAATAAACTTAATGTGGTTTGAGCATATATTATGCAATATTTGGGAACTATCTACCACTAATTTTTAATTACTAGTTTTCCATTTTTTCCCATACCACCCATCAAAACATTTATACATACATAGATTGGTTTCTATAAATCATGACAACCGAGTTTTCTGAAATTCTAATAACGTATCATGCTTATAATATTTTCGTATTGTATATTTAATTTCATGTAACTAAATCGAAAATGTGTTGCATTTAATTTTGAGCTATATATTTTTTTATCCAAATTGCTTGAAGCTTTAATATGAACCTACATATGTATGTATGTATATACGTATATGCATATTTATTTCTACAAATCAATTACAAGCAATGAAAAGGCCGGGTGGCACTTGTGACAATTTGTTGGAAGAAAGTAAAAGTGAAAAAACGCAAACTTGACCTTAATACTTGTAACTGTCGTCCATATAAGGGCGGCATTATAAAACATCTATGAACATAGCTACCTATGTATAATATTATTATATTATATGTACATATGTACGTACAAATACACATTTATTTTAGCGTAATTGTCCCATAACAGTTATAACCATTCATATACCAAATGGACCAATACGTATAATAAATATATTTATTACATTTTATGTACATATACATGTAAGTTCTGATACCATTTGGTCGCCTTTTACAATACGACCTATCGTGACTAAGAAAAAAAAAGGTGATCAGCAGTGAATTAATAAACATTTATTCAGTGTTGGGTAAACGAGATATTATTTAGTTTAGAAATAATTGACGGTTTATTGTGTTAGCAAATTGAATTTTCTAAGGATTTCCATGCGTTTAACAAAAAATAATTTGAACATGCCTGGAAGCTTTTCTTTTAGTCTACGACATAGTATAACAAAAAATCAAATTTTATTCAATAATAAGTATTCTTCGGAATGATTTGTTTAATATTTATGCACAATCAGATTAACATTTATAGTAGTAAAAGTTAAATGAACACAGAGTTTATCGTCTTCAAGCAATAACATTTCAGTATTTTTCTTTAGAGCATTTTCTCCACATACGAGTATAACTTGATTCTTTTATTATTACCACATACTATGTACACATATATAAATGTTCTTTGTTTTCGGATTTTATCTTATGAAAAGAAGAAAGCAAAATAATAAGAGAAGCTAGTCAGCTTGTTTATTGTTCATACCGACGATATAAATAATTGTTAGGTGACTCTGAAGCAATACGAGAACACAAAGCAGTTACATTGTCATATAATCGCATAGCAGCCTGATGCGCAGCAATTCAATGGAAAATTTCTAGCAACAACATAATAAATGTCAATAACATTAAATAAAGTCGCAAAAAAATGTACAAAGCAGCAGTGTCAATTTACCTACATACATAATAATGAACCTTTGTTTTTTCTTTTAAAAGGAAACTTTTATAATGTCACTTTAGTCTTTGAACTATTTCATATTTTTAACCATTTTGCTTTTTCACCTTTTTATCAAAAAATTAATTAAATAATTAATAGGATTTAATCTTATATTTAAGTATATACATATATTTATTTTAATAATATTCTGAAGTTAACCTAGTCTAGCACGATAAAATAATTAGAAATATTTTCAACATTATTAATGAAAACACAATGATATCATCGCGCGAATCCACGTCAGTGCGATAAATGGCATTACCGTTTTTATTGGAAATTCGTGAGCGAGAGACTAATTCTTTAATATTAGATACTCGGTCAAAAAAAAATATGGAGTCGTCATTTGTGTGGTCTATATGCGTGTTAAAATTAAATCAATGTACCGAATGTGCAAACGCCAAAAGTGTTATAAATTTGTTTATATATGTATGTACATACATATGTATATTTGTCGTTCCAGTTTGTATTTAAGGCAAATAACATTTAAGTAAAAATTGTGAAGCAAAATATACTGAAAACTCGCTTTATTGTGCACACGGATTTAAATATACATAGTATGTACTTATATATACATACATACTCGTATATTTGCCACATCATTTTTAATTTAGAAATGCCATTGCCATTATCAGTCAAATAATATGTTACTTATAACAGACACACCCCTTCCATGTTAGAAAGGTAGAATTTTTCAACATTCATAGACGAATGAGATAATAGTAGGATGAACAAAATTTTATTATTATAATGCCAATCTTTTACTATTTACATACATTCATGATACGATAAACTAATTCCATGGCAACGACTCCAAATGTGAAAAGTAAAACTAAAAAACCAATTTACCGGCAGATATGTGGGTTATATTTTTTATATGTATATGTACATACATACATTTGTATGATTTTATTTAGTAAAGCATAGTTTCAAAATCAGTCTTGGGATAGGGACAATGAAATTTTTGTGCTTTTAAGAGATTAAATTCGTTCATTTAAAAGACCGAGTATATTAGCGTCTAAAATAATAAATTTTTAACCAGCAAAAATAAAATATATACATAAAATAAAAAGGCGTATAATACTAATTGCAAACAAGTAGTAAATATGTATGTAATATTAAATTGTTAATAATTACTCTATTTGTACTTGTGTAACTATTTATTAACTATTAATTACTTGTTAAATGCTTTAATGGCAAAAAATATTAAGGAAAATGTAAAAAAAAATAAATTGTTATCACCAATTCAGGTATTATTTTATATTTCAATAATATAGTTGATTTAATTGGTTTTATTACCGATTATTATTATTATTTTATTTTAGTAAGGTAAACCCAACGGACGGATAGGGACATTAAATGGCTGATAACAAGGCTTTTCCTATTGTCGGAAAATCGTAATTATTACGGTATACCGCTATATAAAAATGGGTTGTGACAGTAGTCCAGGTAGAAAATGTAACGTACGCAAAATTTAGTCTAAACTATATTTTTTTCTTTACAATTTTTTCAAATATCTGGTATTATGAGTCTAAATTGTAGACTACACTGCATATATTTACTATATCGTTGTTATTAGGGCCGGCAAAATGGTACCTGTACCAAATCAACATTACAGACTTATTTAATTGCCAAAGTTATGTACGGTTGATGCTAAAAGTAAGCGTATAAAATTTCTACAATAAGATTATTTTATTAATGGTGCATATTTGAAATTAAATCATACGTGTATACAATATACGAGTAGTATAGCCGGCAAACGGAGGGACCAATAACTCCGAGCAGCTAATGGATTTTATGAGAAACTTGTTTATATAACAAAGAGCGACGGCAACTAAATAGGGATAAAACTCAGCTACTGTATATTGATAGATAATGAATAACACCTCTAATTATCCCATACTATACTTTGGCATGGTACACTAAAAGTTTAATATATGTATCTTTAGAGTCAGTTATGATGTGTTAATAAAAGATATGAAAACTCTTTTTTCCAGGTAGCGATATAAAGCTTATTCATGTTAGTTGGATCAAACAGCTAAATAATCGTAATGAAATGAAAAAATGTTAAGCCCTTTAATAGAAATTCATAATAATGAACTGGTTATTTAGGATTTAGTATAGATACATATACAATATGGACTTTTGTAAACCAAATGTCCCAATTTTAATGCTTAAAGGAATGAACCAAAGCAAAATTAAATGTTTATAGAAAATGTTCGTATATTCTCAGGAATAACACAATAAATAATTTTGGTATAATAATAAGTCTTAATGAATTACTCATTAATTTGATCACTTTTAGTAAATTAAAAAAAATACACATACATATATTTGAATATGTATAAATAATATATAATTTTACTACGGAATGTATTTGTATACGTACTTATTTGTTTAATTACATACGACACATGACGAATACAGTCGTTAAAGTACATTTAAATCGTAATACAGGTATATATGCATGTATGTGCATAAAGATAACATGTACTCTTAACACTTATAACGCGCGTGCAAAAAAATAAACAAAAAATAGAAGATGTGATTTTAATTATAATAAATAAAGGGTTCCACAATTAGCACAGCAGTCAACCTAAAAAATTCACAAAAAATAATTTCAGGATCGTCTTGCCAGATTTTCTCTTATAGCAGCATATCACATCTAAATCTTAACACAGCTGACAAGCCGGTATGCATAAATAACAGAAGATAAACGCCTCTAGGAAATTTTGACAGATTTTCTAGTTTTATTTTTATTTCATGGTGCTCTGGCCAACATATTTTTTTAATGCCAAATGGTTTACATAACCACAATGGAATAATGAACATTTTTTCGATTTGCAAAAATATTCTCAATGATCATCACTTTTACATCAGTTTGAACCAATTTAAAAACTAATTTGCGTTGTTCGATTAAAATAACTCTTAACCCACCATCCATGGCTTGGTCAAAAAATAACAAGTGAAAAGCCGAGCTGAACCACAATTTTCAAAGCGGTTTTGAATAAAATGTTGAAATTATGTATAGGGAAATGTGTCATAAATCTCAATGATGACTTCAATTAGCTCCTAAAAGACTACAAAGTGGTCGAAATCCAAAACATATGTGGCAACCCTCGTATAAACGGAGTATCAGTATTGCCAAACATTGTTCGCGAACACATCTTAACTTTATTATTTATCTATAATTATCTTTGATCTTTGAATCGGACTCCGGCACAAGACGACGAGAGTCAACAACCGATTCAGATATGTATATATAAATTTATGCTAATTTGAGCAAAGTTATGCAAACAAAAGGGCGGAGCATACCCAAAAAATCAGCCATATATGTAGTTAGCAAATACAGATATGTACAATTGGAAGAAGATTGTGAAGAAATGCGAAATTTTCATTTCCTAAAGGTGTTTCTTGCAAACACAAATTGTGAAATAACAAACGCAATTTCATAACTTTCATCAATGACGTAAAATAAACACACTACGTAGAACTTATGTACGAACATTTGTGTGTATTTTTATTTGTAATTCAATAAATATAGTAAATGCCACTAAACCAGTTTTAAACGCTGCGCGCAATAACTAACTATGCTACATAACTAACTCTTTGGTAGACACTAGATGTCTTGTAGCTTCCCAATCAGCCATGCGGAATTTTCGGGTTTTTAAGCAACACATATTCCAGCAATATCTAGTAAAGCGTTATAAACAGCGCCCCAGCCACTCACACGCTCAGCGAGCCAAGCACATTGCTTTTTGTTGGCTGCTCGTTCATTTGTTCGGCGACGACAAGTGTGCCCACTGCTCTTCAAGAATGAGGAAATCTGCTAGGCACCGGGTTGCAGCCTTTGGTATGCGCCGCAGCCAAAGCTCTTTTTACATGCATATATACACAAATACATATGTATTCAGCCTTTGTAACTATATGTATGTGTGTAGCCCCTGCTGCTGGTTTATCCATAATTTCTCCGTATCTTTTATTTAATTCAGTTCCATTTGAGTTTTCGCTTAGCGCGGTTTGATATACCTGTTTCATATTTCTCATATAAACGTACACATACATGGTATATAAGTATGTACAATACATATAGATATTTAGTAGTATATTTGTGGCAATATATAAATATTTATGTGGCGCTTGTGTATGACTTGGAACTTTGGGCAATTCTATTGTAAACTCTTGCATTGCAGCATTTGGGTTTATTTCGCATATTCGTTGCAATTATTTTCTTTGTTTGTGTAATGTTGTTGTAATGCAGTATAACAAGCTTTTGTACGCAAACTGGAAGTGGTGAATCAGTGTGATGTGCTGTGCAATTAATAAACTCATATGCATACATACATATGTATACATATGTGTACAAATATACGCAAGTCTATTGGATAACAAAACAATGCATGCGCGTCTGTAAATATTCTACAACAATTCACAATTCGCTAGTTTACCTGTAATCAGATCCATGCACACTTAAATATATGTATTTATGCATATACATATATATATATATATGCAGTTGGCTGCAATTGCACACTTCGGAGTGAATGGCGTCCGACAGTTGCAAAATCTTAATACTTTATTGGTGCTTAATCATTGCGCAATGAAATTAAAACGATATGGTATGAAAACATCATAGAAATTCATTAAACGAATGGAAAGATAGTGTTACACTCGTAGGATACGTGCTTGTAAATTAAGATGAACCAACAGTGTGTGAAAACTGATCCTGGTACATATAAACTATTTCGTATCATCAAAACAAACAACTGGCTGAATTCAAAGAAGCTGACCTAATCGAATAAAGATTAGACTATGCAGCAAGGGATTATTAAATCGGAAAGGGGATACTCTTTTTAATCGAGTTTAATTGAATAAATTTGTTGTAGCCATATAAATCAGATAAAGCGAGTAGAGGAGTGGCAAATCAACTTCGATTATAGAGTGCATTTATTGAAAACATAGGTAGTTCTGGTGTAAGTTCTAAGCATCGTTCGAACCTGTTTCATTTTCTTTGAATAAGCGCAATTTCATCTCGGCGACTCACAGCTAGGGATTTAACACGCGATCGTCGAGATTTCGAAGCTATTTTTTTTTTTCAAATTTTTTCTTCCATCGGTTTTTAATTACGAGAATGTTTTATACAGAATTTAAACCGAAGCCTATCGTTTGTAGGTTGGTAGACTGCTCTTAGTAAAGTTTCCCAACATTTCAGACGACGAAAAACAGCCACACGCTATGCTATGGTAAAACGAGCTCCAGATAGTTTCAGAGTGTCGTACTTGGATGATCAAAAAGTATATCAAAAGCAGGGTTAGAATAAATCTACTTCTATCAGGTAACTGTGGACATAAAGGAGTAAGTCTTTTATTGAATCTTTTGTTTTAATCAGTGTTGAAGGGTAAACAGTTTAGTTATATTACATAACCACCATATTTAGGGATATAGTTATTAGAAAAAAAACAAATGGGTATTTTGTGAATAATAAGAGAAATGTATAATTTACATTACTTTATTATATTATTTGTAAATTAAAATAATTGGATGGGTTTTTAAATACCGTTGTATGGAGTATAGATGTACTTGTAGATGGTAGTATTTGAGGAATTAATGCCTGGTTTAGCTCTTTCAGCTGAATATCATATCTGAAAATTATTTAAACAACAAAAAAACTCTATACTAAATGTAAAAGGCTTCGCTTAATCCAGACAATTATTAACAGAATATAACGTCAAAAAGTAAAACTAAGCGCTCCATATGAAAATATGCCAAGACATTTATGGTAGTTTTAATAAAAGATAGTGTTTTATATACAATGTCAGTAGTCTTTCAGCATAATGACTTTTAATGTTTTTATATTACAAAAGAAGTTTGTTTTTGCTTTCCGAATTTCTCAAAGTAGACCAGAAAACCAAACAATTTTTTTTTCTTAAAAAAATTAATATTTGGAATAGTTTCTTTACTGCAATTCCAAAATAAAACAGTGAATGTGTATATACATATATGATATATGCTTGTATATTGTCTGTATAAATTTTAAAGCATGGTTTATTTATAAAAGTGGAACAATTATTTTCATTTCAGCAGCTAACTGATGTGTCAACATTCAGCTGGAGAATAACAAAGTAAAGATAACAAAAAAAAAAAAATAACAAACTACAACAACACTACCACCACTAGTACATACATATGTATATTGTAAACTCAAGTCTACTGAAACATTTCTTAACCAATTTTTATTAAAGCCTATAGTATTTTTTATTACGACTACTAGAAATATAGAAACTTTACACAGACGTCGAATGGCCACAGGCATATAATACAATAACATTCCGAAATACTGCAAGGCAGCTCAAAATCCTACAAATCAATATACACTATTGAAAGAACAAAAATTCCATTTTAAATTGAACATAATAAAAGATAAATAAATAAACAAATAAAATCATAAAATCCTACATAAAAGGTGAAAACATGACGGAAACTAATGCATTTAATAATGATGAGAAATCGAAAAGGAGTCGGCGGCACAGTAGTCGTCGACATAGCACCAGCAGCAGCGTTAGCAGCGGCAAAGGTGGTAGACGGCATCGCGCACGTAAAGGTTGCTCCATTGGCGCATTCATTGGTCAATTACTTTTCAATTTCATTAGTAAAATCTTACGACTCATATTCCAACTGATCTATGGTGTCAAGGGTGAACCTATGCCTGCTATCACTGATCCCGTATTGCTCGAGTCCGCCACATCGTTAGCGCGCAAAATACGCAAACAGGAGGTAAGATCTTCCATTTACTCAGCGTGTATGAGAATTACTGACTATTTAATATTTTTGGAAAATATTAGTTGTCGAGCGTTCAAGTAATGGAATCATTTATACGACGCATTAAAGATGTAAATCCGAAGCTCAATTGCTGTGTGGACAATCGTTTTGATGAGGCGCTGAAAGAGGCTGCCGAAGCTGATGAACTAATCAAATCTGGCAAATACACCGAGGAGGAGTTAGAGAAGACTAAACCATATTTGGGTGTGCCCATATCGACTAAAGATTGCATTGCGGTGAAAGGTGAGTAGATTATTTTTATTTCTATGAATTTCCTTATTTGAATATTGGGTGTTATCAGATTATTTTTTATTGATTGTCATTTATTTATTTATGTTAAATTTAATATATCGTGGCAGTTTAGAATTGCTCTGACTACGTGATATCTTATTTTAGACAAATGGATTTTAAGCCGGTCCAGCGAACACAGAATACAATTTTGTAATCACTCTTAACACAAAAAATATATAATTTATTTTCTTGCTCGTGAGACTGAAATTCCATGAACAAATTTATTAGAAATACAATAAATATACAAATAAAGATCCCATAATTTTCAGTTTTCCAAACGGTGGATGGACTTTGTGGACAAATATTTTATGTCAAAAAGCTTGACATATCCTGCTGAGAGGCCACCAATACTAAAAATATTTTTTTTTCAAAATCTAAGTGTTAAGTGGCTGGTTAGATGTCCTTATGTTATAATCGCGTTAACTTTTAAATATTTCATGCTCAAAAGTCTTAACCGTCCAATAGTGGTATAACGACGACACATTTTTGAACAAATATACGCGTTTATGTATGTAGATCAAGAATTATTTTACTGGATCACTTTTGCTTCCGAAAACTAACTGAACAATTTTCGAATTATTATATTAAAAAAATATATTTCGATTGTTATACTCGTATAGTAGAATAAATCTTTCATCGACTATTTTCAGGCCTTCTACACACTGCCGGTCTGTATGCACGTAAAGATGTGCGCGCCACTGAGGACGCCACTGCCATGTCATTGATGCGACAGGCTGGCGCTATACCCTTCGCGATCACTAACATTTCGGAGGTCTGCATGTGGTGGGAGAGCAACAATGTCGTGCACGGACGCACGAGCAATGCATACGACTCAAATCGTATTGTCGGTGGTTCCAGCGGCGGTGAAGGTTGCATGCAATCGGCGGCCGCCTCACCTTTTGGCCTTGGTTCCGACATTGGCGGCTCTATACGCATGCCAGCATTCTTCAATGGCGTGTTCGGTCATAAACCCAGCAAATTTATCGTTTCGAATAACGGCCAATTTCCAATGCCATTCACAGATGAACAAAGCTCGTTTTTAGGCATTGGACCAATGTCACGTTTTGCTGAGGACTTAAAGCCCATGCTGCGCATTATTGCGGGCGAAAAGGCCAAAGAACTGCATTTAGACGAGCCAGTTGATTTGCAAAAGGTACGCTTTTTCTATCAGGAGAGCGATGGCGGCGGTCGCTTAGTTTCGCCTGTGGATGCTGATCTATTGGCTGGCATGCAACGTACTGTGCAGCATTTGCGACAGAAATTAAAGCCCGTATCAGTGGAAAAGGTACAATTTGAGCAATTCCGTCAATCGGCTATCATTTGGTTTGCCAATATGAAGGATGATTCGGGCTATACATTCGCACATCAATTGGGTGATCTCAAAGTCGCTATAAATCCCTATTTGGAGCTGGTCAAATGGGTATTCGGCGCTTCCAAGCATACATTTATTGGTTTGATAACCGTAATTATGGATAGAACACAAGTGCAATATGGCTCGAACAAATACAAGTATATGGTGAAGAAGCGTGATGAATTGCGTGCCGAAATGCAAGAGCTACTTGGCGAAGATGGTGTTCTACTCTATCCTACACATCCCACCGTTGCACCATACCACAATGAACCCATCTTCCGACCCATGAACTTTTCCTATACAGGCATTGTGAATGTATTGGGTTTCCCCGCCACTGCCGTGCCTCTTGGGCAACTCGGTAGCGAAGGTGTGCCCTTGGGCTTACAGGTGATTGCCAATTTCAATAACGATAGGCTGTGTCTGGCAGTTGCCGAAGAGTTGGAACGCGCTTTCGGTGGTTGGGCGCGTCCCGAAGTGAAAGTTTAGTAGTAGTAGTTAGCTTGTCGATGTCACAATATCAGCTGATATCTAATTATATAACTGTTATACTACCTATATTACTTATGTACATGTAAAGTTCTTGAAATGAGGGTTTGTTTTTATATGTGTGTAAATATTTGCAACAACGCAGGCATACGTGCATGCATACGGACATGTCACGTAAAAGAAATTATATTTTTATGCAGATTTAATGAAATTTATGCACGCCGATTTGTATGTACATATGTGTACGTGTGCATGTCGAATTGTCTTTGATACGCAACTTAAATTATACACGACTATATAAGTAAGATGTAATTTAATGAATACATATATACAAATAACTTTACATCCATATAACATACCTATACTACATGTAACTGTTAAGCATTTAAATGCGTTAAATAGACTAACATGTTGGTATTACAATAAGTTACCAGTACATTGTATTTAAATATATACGTGAATTTGTTTGTATTAAAGTGAATATTTTTATAAAATAAAATGTGTATACATATTTATGCATATGCGTAAAGGTAGAACTACTTACGAGGGAAAAGTGCTTCTAGTTTCTAAATATACAAAAATTATCTAACATACAAAATATATTGTATTTGGTAACCTAAAAAATGTAAGTAAGGCTTGTGAGAGAGCGCATCTAAACAGAAACACTCTTACAATTGGGATTCGGCAATCTGAGCTGTCTTGAAGGAATATCCCGCTATACACGGCTATAATAAACAAGACTGTTAAACTTTGTGAGAATAGGGTTTAGACTTTCAACCAAAAATTTTTCAAACCAAATAAGAGTATAAGCGTTAACATCATTCGGTTGCACCGAAGCTATAATACACTTCACAAATATAAAAGATTCAATACACGAACTTAATTTTGATCAGTTTGTACGGAACAATACCTACGTAGATTGTACCGTTACCTTGAACAAAAATAAACTATATTATTTAATATCCAGAGCTTGATATTAATCGACCAAAATGATATTTACTTACTGAGAAGAGCGCAATCCGTGCTGGCATTGATTATACCTATCTAAGGTTTTAGGGCCGTTATGGAGCTCACAAAAGCACAATGGCAGTGCAGAATTCGGATGGAACTTTTTGTTGCACAAACAGCAGAGGTAGCCTAAAATTGGACATAATGCCAAATAATGGAATTACGGTAACTTGAACGATTTGTAATTATCTAAAGATTTTAACCCCCCGACAATTGTTAAATATTTTTCCCCCATGCTGTTGGAACAACAAAAACGAAAATATTGTTCAACAACAATGGTCTACTGATTTATCAAAGACGCAAATTGAATTGGCTAAGAGGATTGCATGTATGTATGTATATGTACAGCTGTATGTACGAGCGTCCGTTTGAAAACTCATCTTGAGATTTTATTAATGTTTTATTTATTTAGATTCACTATACAACGTAAATATGGTTCATGTTCCCCAATATTGTTGATGAAGCTAATTATCAATTAAAAATTCCTTAAGAAAATATTATTCATGTAAGTTTTCCAATAGCCCATAAATAACATAATGCATATTTGTTCGTGATACGAGTATGTAGTTTTTATTAAAAATTAGTGTTATTTCTAAAACTAAATAAACATTAGAAAAGTGTATGAATATAATTAAGGGCGAGTTTCAACGCATACAATATTTGTATGTGTTGGTAGCATGCAAAATCATTTCAGAGTAATATTACTTACTATATTTCGAGAAAGTCTATGTGTGTTTAAATAGTGCTAAGCACATATTGGAGCAAAAACTATACATATACTTGCATAAAGCGTTTTTAAGGAAATAGTTTGCAGTAGGAACTAAGCGGCAATTCATTGTTTGAAAAAAAAACCCGAAGCATAAAACTAATGTAGCCTAATATTACAGGGTTAAAATGTTACTTATTCACATGCCTTCTTTAAATTATGTCTGTATGTATATGCTTTTTGTTTTTTAGTTACATATATTTTATATAGGGTACTCGATAAATAAGAATCCCTTTGCATAAAATTTATATTATGGTTTCATATAAATTTCATTTCATTTATTTACCTTTTCAAAAGGATTTTAATTTGGAAATTTGAAAGTCTACATTTTTCAAATCAATGTTTTTACATCTCAAAAATTATATAATATCATGTTTTACATACTTTTGAAACAAGATTTTATTTCATGTAAGTAGATTATCATTTTTAATTCGGTGTCACTGCAATTTTAACACAGAAGACACTAATTTATTATTTTCGTTTATTTCTATAACTATCCCTGTGCTTTCCTAATAAAAAATAATGACCAATTAGCGATCATTCTTCGTTCATTTTTTTTAACAGCCGCTATCAGGTTATATCTCACCGTACATTTCGGTGCAGTAAAACCGTTAATTTCCTTAATTTTTATAGCATTTTTTATACCTTTCCTCCTAACGATTGAATTAATTTCAGTAGTTCGGATCGTTTTGCGCTTATTATATCCTGATGTAGTGGTCCCACACCCTCCACACACTCATATCTGTTCACATAGTCAGCTATGTTGTCTGTCATACATATAACATGTATGCCGCAATCGTATCCATTTGCTTGTTGCAAGCAACGTATCGGTTTTATGTGGCATTGGCGGCAATTCAAGGCAACTTTAATTTGATGTACGAATTGTTGTGATGCTAACGAGTTATTGTTGCCCCACGAATCAAAATGGAAGAACGTCTTTTCCGGTCGTGAAAATACTAAGAGTGACCAGTGTGTACCACCAGCTTGTGTGGATTCATTGTCGTTGAGTGCAAAGAATATAAATTGCTTTCGTGGCGCTTCCAATTGATTGAGTACGGTTTCCAATTCGTCATCATCTGTTAGTTTCATACATTGTGTTACCTCCGGTGCGACAAATAATAGATCCGGATTATTTTTGTATTTAACCTTTTCCAGGTATTCATAATAAAATGAAAGTATTTGGTCGTTCAACCAATGCGGTCCTTGTAGTAATTGTACATCGCTCATACGAAGGCATGTGTCGTTAAAGCTAAGCGCTATGGGATCAGCATGCGTGTAGGAACTCATATTCACCGTTGCTTCGCCCAGTGTCCGAGTGCAATCTCTGCTGCTGCAATTTAATTCGGTGTCACTGATAATGCTTTAAGCTTGAGATAACTTTTGTTAAGTTACTATTTTCTTTTTGTTGCATTAATATCGCTGTTGTTGTCAAGGCGTTTCAAATTATTCATACGCATACATAAGTATATATACAGATATGAATTATCGTGGAGTTGTGGTTTGTTACATGAAAACATGAAATTTTAATATGAATTGTTATTACCAACGGCTTTTCAATAATTATGAAATTTTGATTGCCATAACACAATTTACCTAGTTTAATATTGTATGCAAAACAGCTTTACAGCTAGCCTTTTCTTTTAAATTCATAAAATATAGGGAAACGAAAATTTTAAAACCACTTTTACTTTTTATAGGCAATTGCGAATTAACACGCAATAATAGGAACAAAAATGCAATTCTTACTCTTCTATTTTGTTCTAGGCTTCGCTTCTTGCATCAAACAATGCAAGGAAAATATAAACGCCGGTACGAATTTATGCGGCGAATTAATAAACGATATGGCAGCTATGCAAATTATTGCCAATACTTTAAGAATCGCGTTTAGGTAATAAAAGACAAGAGATCCACTTTCAATTAAAAGCTTTGGAGTCTTTACATTTGTATTTTTTCAATAAACTTAGCTCGTTAAGAGAGTTTTTAAACACTAAGGAAATGTGTCGTATGTAAATAAAGGTTTACGAAAAGTTTAACAAAAATAATTTTTTGATAACATATATTTCCATTAAATGAGGATATAGGCAACTCTAGGCAAAAAGATACCAAAACAAAATTATAATTGGCGAGTTTCTACACTTGCTTCACCATAATGAGGAACAAAGAAGTATGAAGGACAAGAATTGTAAAAAAACAGCAATTTCAATGAGTGTCGGGAAAACTTACCAAAGTTTCTTTGATTATTGTTACACTACACAGAGTCTTAGCACACTAAAAAAAAAAACAATGTAATTATAACTACGAACTTTATTTAAATGGAATTAAAAGAGAGGTCTAAAGAATGTAAGAAAACAAATATACTACAGCTGTTTAAACGAATTCGCCGCATTCTTATAAAGAAGGGTATCGGAGTTGCATGTTACAACTTTAACCCTTAACAAAGCCGTATATTTATTGAATTCATGGTTTACGGTGTTTTTAAGCTATCATAACACAATCATTAAAAACCCGTTTATTAATTAGGAAAAAATGTACTAGATCTACGGTATTTTATTTTTTTATGACCTATAATTTTAAGTATGTATTTAATACTAATTATTAATTATATATTGTAAATTTCGACTGAACGCTGCGCAGCTTATATATACCATAGCCATATGTATATTCTTTTTATTTATTAATTTCGTTTAATTTAATTTATTTATTTTTTTCCTGATCATTCTAATAATGAATGATGTAATATAGGTTTATTGTTTCTTCAATTTTGTTTTTCTATTTGGCGATTAAAAGATTACAAATTGTCTGCGATGTAAATTTTAATTATTGATAATAATTGATTATTCTTCGCTTTTAATTGTCCAAAAATCGTTTAATATTTATTTAAATGCTATGTTGTGAGTGTCTCGCACACGCCACATCTAAAGTATTTTTTTTTTTTTTGTTCTGCATAAAAAGATTTAAGGTCTTCAAATCATTTTTTCATTACTAAACATTTATAAAAGTAGTCAAAACAAGATTTTGTTTTTTCAATTCTTATCAATTTAGAAACGTACTACCAAATATTAATATTTACACCTATGTACGTATGTATTTACATATATAGCTGGACAAATAATAAGTTAGCATAAGCGTGGACTGGATTTAAAAAAACACACAATAAAACCAAAGTATACATTTCTATGTACATATACATGTAAGATCAATTTATTGTAATACTAAGACCAAGCATAAATTCTACCAGTATCTGGGTCCATTTGTCAGCATTGCAACTGCACAAATCCACATGCATAACTTGTGCATACATATGTATGTCTGCCAAACAAGTACATAATAAATACAAGCTGTATGTGTACAATTAATTACAATTGCTGAGACAAGAGTCTAAATATGTACATACCGTTATCAGTGAAATATTATTTAATTTTTTATGTTTTCGTGTCTCTTCGAGTGCAAATATATGCGTCAATAGCGGAAAACAGTGACAATCGTCGGCAAATTTCTCAACAAGTTCACAATTTAGCGCTTTTTCTAGCATTTTTTTCATTATTATATTCAGTTCATTTAACCTACTAAGTTCGGTGACAGTAGATTGTTTGGGTTCTTAAGATGTTTACTTGTGATTTACTTATATCCTATTTATTTGCATACATACATATATATATATATATATATTATAATTAAAAAATCTAAAAATAAATTGACATTACCTGTGTCAAAACATTGTGGTAATTCAAGTCAAACTATTAATATATACGCACATTTACTTTACATTTACGTACATATATGTAGTACATCAGTTATCAGTTAAGAATATTTTTAATATATTTAAATCAAATATATTGTCACATTTCCTTTGTTCGAGCAACGCAACCTTGTTATAATTAGAGCCAGATACGCCATATTGAAATAGCATAAAAAGGAAACGCCAGCTACTGTAAAACGTTTTTTTAATTTATTAAATTAAATAATGCTAATATATGTATATCCTATCTTCTGAATATTTTAGATTTTGTATATAACTTTGAAAATATGCTAACAAATAACACTGTTTAGCATAATACAGGCAATTAGTTGTAAGGTGAATCACTTTTACCAAAGTAATTATAACATTAGCTATACATAAGTACGTTTCTAACTTTAACTGTTGTACTTATCAATGCCATATTTATAGATCTGTGTACAACGTGATCTTCTCCACATATAGAATTTCTACTAAAATAGAAAATATCCCTCATTTGCTTGTAACAAAATAAGTAAACCTAGTTTTTCTTCTTATTTTCCATTCAAAGTTCCAAATAACAATAATAAACTTCATCCTCCATAGATAAGAAATAAGGATTTCGTGTCTACTATAAACAATATTATGTAGGTACGTATGTATGTATTTATACATACATAGATTAAACAGTTCATCTTATTACTATACGCCAATAGCCTCTATTAAGCACTAACAGCACCGGCTTTGACACCCCGCCCCTAATCTACAACACCTTATCATATACATATGTACATATGGACTTATATGAATTTTCTTTGCGTCACGGACTCATCCGATTCATTTATTCAGCGAAGCAAAACAATCGAACAGTGTACTTATAAATCTCAGCCGCATGTTGCCAACAAAGTCAGTTCAATTTTGAACATCACGAGCGTTGAAAGTAATATCACTGCTACACTTTATGATTTCTTGCAAGTGCATACAAATGTATAACCGGTCATTTGTTAAATTTTTTAGATTTAACTCAAAAGTGTTGTTTTACTGATAGTAAAAATAGAATATATTTATACGCATAATTAAGCGTGTAACAGTGTCAAAAAGTATTTAAACAAAATTTACCCAGTGCGGAAAGGACAATACTTTTTTATTATTGCTTAAACAAAATAAGCTTGAATGGTGGTTATAAAAAGTGACGAATATTCAAACATACTGAATTTGCTAAGAAAACGAAATTGTTTACAAGACTTATTAAAAAGTGACTTTACAGTCCACAGCGAATCACATTTCACCGACAAACGCATTATTTGTGATATACTAAACAATTGTGAAGGTATGGAACTTTTTATTATTTTGATAAATATTTATATGACAATATAAATATATTGTGACAATACTAGTTATTAAGAAATGAACGAAAAGTAATGAAGAATTAGCCTCTTTAATAGCAAAAATGTTAATGAAAAAAAAATTAAGTGCTCAATGTTTTAATAAAATAATATATACACATGTTTTAATTATTTAACATTAAATTAAAAAAGTATGTACCGTGTTTTATATGTGTAACACAATTTTTGGTGATTTATAAAATGTATTAATTTAAAATCTAAGGAGAAAACGTGCTAAATCTAAAACCATATGGCTGTATATGCTTGTTTTGTTATCGCACCATGCTTAGTTTATCAGCTGTATAGGTTCACAAAATTGAACTCTAAAACTGTTTTAGTATTTTTAAATAAAAATATGTTAGTTTTATTATTTTATTTATTTAAAAATTGTGTGTTTTAATTTCAATATTATTTAAATTTTCTCGTGAGTATTTCACAGGCATGTAATTATATTTGATTTGTGTATATTCATATTTTCGTTTTTATTTTTATTTTTCATATTGCAGACTGTTCAAAAATGGCCGCTTTGCCACAAGGAGCTTTTGCCGCACGTAAATTGCGCGAATTAAATGATAGGGACTTACTGATAGCTCGCATAAAGTGCAATACTGATAAAAATGAAACAAAAAATATTAATACTAATAAAAAATGTGAGTTGGTTGTTTTGTATAAAAAGCAATACTTTACCTTTATTAAATTTTCTTATTTACTACAGTGACTGAGTATACACCGGCAAAATATAATGATAAGTTGATGAATTCTATTTGGGGTTTCTACAATCGTTATTCTCCTCACAATATAAAAGGCAACGAATACGAATTTTCGGAAAAAGCTTATATTATGCAACAGCAGTAAGTATATGTTTAAGGAACTTGATTGCTTGATTGTTAATAAATAATTCCATGTAAGGCTTGAGCGAAAAAAAGTGTTAAATCGGGTTACGTCGTTTTAACATATATCTACAGATTTATAATAACATTTTAACTAAAAAATTTAGCAAAGATTCTTGTTCTCTCAAAAATTAAAAATTTTAAAGTATTACAATTTAATTTATTCACATAACTTTTTTAAGCTACATATTTATAAGCTCCTAGAAAATTTTGATTTATTGTTTATATTTATAAAGAACTGTTTCCGTTACTGTACAATAATAATTGTTATTCTCCCATTTGCTTTTAGCATTGCTGTTGCATCCTACGCTATTGCTGAAGATTTGGCAATGGCTTTACGTTCCGGCAAGGAATGGGATTTACGTGAGAAGTAAAGCAAGACTTTCTTTTAATATTGCTTAAAATTTGGCGCAAAAATTTTTTACAGTTTCAATTAAAATTTATGAATTTCTGTACTCTTATTATATATATGTAAATATTCACTATGTTAAATGATCAGCAATTTTATAAATTGATATATATAAACGAAAATATATTGAAAGCATATGACAGCATTAAAAATGTATTTCATCTTTACTGCGTTCACATGGGGACTCTTTTGTAGCTCATTAGCGGTAAATTCTGTTTTGGTGTCGCTCTGTGGGAGCATGTTGCATAGCTCATTCATATGTTGGTATGGTGGTCTCACATTTTGCTTACAAAGAATTACCGTAAATGTGGTTGAACAATATGCATAATACCCGCTTAATAATTTTAAAGAAATACTTAAGTCTATTCCATCAAAATGTATTGAATACTCGTTAATAATATTTTCAAGGCTAAATTTATGACAGGAATTTCCTAATCTTTCGGGAAGTGTGAAAAACCCATACTTTTTTTACTCCATATTTTTTTCGATTATAAAACATCCTTGGATTAATTACAAGTCATGTTTTAAATAAAATGATATCGAACTAAATTTGCGGTTAAAATAAATAAATATAAAAGCATCTTAATATTTTATGCAAATATAAACAAGTAAAAGTAACTCCATTTTTATTAGAATTCATTTATGTATATATTATTACATTTAATACCGCTAAAGTTTATTAATAATTTAAATGAAATATTTTTGAGTATTTTAATTTCCTCCTTATTTAAAATTTTTAAAATATTTCTATTATTCCATGCATACATATGTTCATAATACATACAAAATATAAATAACGAATTTCAAATTTCCTAACATATCGTATATGTATATTCATTTGAAACCTAGCGCTATTGTAACCATGAAAAGAATTTCAAAATGAAAAGGAATGCTGAATTGCGTAGCAGCGAACTGTTACGAACGAGAACACAATGCGTGCCACCCGAGCACGAGCGGCACGGTCCGTTCATCTTTCCCCACAAAAAACCGGTTTGGGCCACAAAAGAGTCCGCGTGTGAACTGGGATTTACTAATTATTTTTTCAAAAATGCACATTTTTTTATATACAAATAGTTAAAGGACATGATTCAATATTGATGTAAATCAATTCAAATAACAGGACTCGTAAGTGGGCACCATATATTTGATATTTATAAAAGCATCTTCGCCGCCATGTAACTCCAACACTTGTAAGGTCTCATCGATGAGATCTCCGAGATTCATATTGGTGCGCTGGGCGTAGTCTATTTCATCGCCGCAATTCACTGCAACGAAGAGGAAAATGACTATGAGAGTTGTAAATACACATTTAAAGACTGAAAGTTTTTAAAAATATCGTTGTTGTTGTAACAAAGGAATTACAAAACAAACAATAGTAGTATAATGGCAGAGTCGCTTTAAAATCACTTCAAAGTCACTGTTTCTTTAAACGAATATATTATATTGGCCGATCTGTTCCGATTCGAATGACTATCACAAATCTTGACAGCTCGTTTTAAAATAAGTACTGAAAAACCGTTTATTAATACGAAGAAGAAAACATTGGTTTTGACGTCAGTACAAAAACACTGTTTAATAAAAAGAAGCAGTAACCCTTATTGGTCCTTCGCCGATCTGTTCCGAGTTAAACCGACCATCGAAAAACTTTACAGCTCGTTGACGTCAGTTAACACAGACACATTGTTTATGAAAAAGAAGCAGAAACCCGGTGTCTAATTCTATTAGTTCTTTGCCAATCTATTCCGAGTTGAACCGACCATCGGATACCTTCACAGCTCGCTTTTAAATCACAAACATATTTATTAAAAACCTTTACGTCGAATTTATTGCACCTTAGGGGATTGAATCATTCACCCTTTCATTAACAAAATGTAACCATATTTGCACAGTTTAATAGACAATTTGATTACAGTCGTAGCAGTGTTTCGGTACACGTGCCAAGCTATTCGTAATAAAAAAATGAGATCGTTCTTTGCTGATTATTGTCGTCATCAATCTCATTTTCCAACAAAATGAGCTCGACTTCTAAAAGGCATGGTACAATACATAGTTATGTAAAGTATATTTTGAGACGAAAACATTATTCGAAATACTTGAGGACCCCTTAGTTAAATTAATGTAATTCCATTCGAAGGGAATAATCTCGAAATCTGTAGTTATTGATAAATTTGGTTCAGTAAGTCAGCTTGCTTATCATTAGTCGTCAGGCGCAATTTTATATGCATATGTATTTGAAGACATACATACATATACATATGTGCATATGTATGCATGCATGGTCACTTAGTTACAGATTTCGTATTGGCTTACTGCATTTTTGGTACAAGGTTATATATATATATAATATATATATACTTATTAAATATGTTGATAGTAAATACAAAATCTCTGTGCATTAAAAAAAAAATTGTTTAGCTTTTGTTGTCTACATAGTACATGCATATTAACAACAATATACTTAGACAGATGCCCTTTGTCGATACGTCTAGACTCTGTCGTGAAACAAAAGGGGTTAATTGAGAGGCGATAATTTAGATTACAAGTATTGTAGTAACAATAAATACATAAAATGCTTGTTGTTAATGATTATATGCATGGTGTTAAAATCATTAAATTGTATTAATATTAATTGTATCAATGGATAGAAAAGAATAGCTGAAAACAAAATAATAATTAAACCGTTAACTGCGACTGCACCATAATTCCCTTCACAAATAAACAAGTTTTTTGAACGGTCAGTTTGTATCGCAGCTACATACATACATATATGCTATAGTAATCCGATCTGAACAATTTGTATGGTGATTATATCGTTGCCTTGGACAATAATCCGAACGAGATTCAGAACGAGATCTCAAAAACTGAGGGATTATTTCGCGTATATACAGATAGACAGACGGACATGGCTAAATCGGATCAGCTCGTCATGCTATATGCTTAACATATATAATATATTTACTTTAACAGGTCTCCTTTCTTCGTTTCCCGCTGAGTGTTAAACTTCGTGACCCTATTCAGGGTATAATAAGATAATATTTCGGCCCGGACGGACACATCTTCGAGTGAAGGCAGATTTTAATGAAAGATAAAAAAGTTTGTATAACAAAACTAAACTGAATTTCGGGTGCAAAACCCAAACGTTGGTAGTATCACACACTAAAACGACTATTAATTTTTATTTTATAACCTACGATTCTATTATTCGCTCACCGTTTTTCACCTTGAAAGCATTAAACATTGGCAGCAATTGTCGATAAAACGGCACCAAAGCTGGACCCACCATATCAGATGACATTACGAGTTGTTGTATTATCTTTAAAGTGGTGCACATAACCTCCAAATTACGTGTGCTAAGTGCATCTATAAAGAAAGAAACGCAAAAAAATAATCCTAATCATGTTTTAGGCGTCAAAATCGAAGCCGCATTACAGTCACAACACGTTGGCGCAATTACCTCAACACATGCACATACATATATTTACCGCTAAACACTTACTCTTAAGTGGTAATATTAATTGCGGTACAACAGGATGAATTTTCTCGCCACCCGCAACCAATAAATCGGTAACACCTTGACGAGCATATGTCTTATAGGGGTGCTGGGTCTCAGACAGACCGTCAAAGAAGAGCGGCAAGTAGAGGCTGTAGTCGAGTTTGTCAATATCCACCTTCGAAAAAAAGCTGTTATAGTAAACTTAATACCAGATATATAACCGTTATATACATATATGCATGTACCAGATATTTATATGTACATATATATATATATACACATATGTATATAGTGAGAGTTTATGTTCGTGCTACATGCCAAGCACGCCTTTGCACGCAACAAAAAATGAAAGAACGTAAAAAAAATATTCAATTCCATTTCAATTACCCGCAACACTCGCCTATCTGCTCGAAAGCGTGTACCCTTTCACAGTACTTGCATTTTGGAGGCAAACTGGCAGGCAGGTGTTCGTAGGTGTATACATTGTAATAGAGTACACCCACATGAGCAATAAACCCGCGGTATATTATTATTTCTCTAAATGACAACACTGTCGTGCTAAATTATTATTATTTTTATTTATTTATAGAAAGCTTATGTATTCACAGGTGAACTTTTTATTTTCGGAATTTGCTTCTTTTTGCAATAAATAATCCATCAATCAAAATCAAAATCTGCATTTGCAACGGAAATTGAATTTAAAATTAGGTATATATATGTATATATAGTATATATTAAGTTATAATTAAAACTAACTTTTAAGAGAGAGTTTAAGATTATTATTTTAGTTAGGAATTTAGGGCAATTATTATTATTCTAGAATATAGTTGTAAATATAAAAAAAAACATAATATATAAATATTATTTTTAATTATGTTAATTTTTTTTCTTAAGAGAAATATTTATATTATTGAATTAAAAAAAATATCTGCAAAATTATTTGTTTAGTTTAGTTTTGGATTTTTATTTTAGGTTAGGAATTTTGTGAATTTATGATTATTCTAGAATATTGTATTAGTATATATATTAAAACAATAGTATTTAAATATCCTTTCCTATTAAAAGTTATATTTATACTATTAAATTTTTAAAAATCTTAAATTTTTATCTATCAATCAATCCATATTTTCTGGTTCTTTTTAGATAATTTAAACCTCGAATTATTAATTGTTCAAAAGAAATATTTTTGGTATGAGAAATGCATACTTTAAAATTTATTTATATATAACTACAATTTTAGACTTCTGTGATTTGGAAAAAAATTATTTTAAAAATATATTTTAAGATACAGAATATGGTTATTTATGGACATCAAGTACATGAGTACTATATGTATGGGTGTATATATTCAAACTTACCGTCCAACCAATTTTATCTCCTCCACATAAATATTCCATTTTTATAGGCAGATCTCCACGATCAAAATACATGCGAAACGTTGTTGTAGAACGTCTGTGACTATCAGCACCGCTGGCGTTGCTTCCGCCCAAATCCAATTGCAAAGTGGAAATGGTTTTCTTTTTGCAAGCGTTCAAATCTGAAATACATACAGATCAGATTATCTTGCACTTACATACCAATGGTATAATAATTAATTTATAATACTATTATTAAATACGATACATACTTTTTCCATTCACTTTTCCGCGTGCGCTCGCGGGTGCTGGTGGCTCATCTATCGGTCCATGTTCAACCACAGTATTTTTCTGCATCGATTGCACTGAAAATGGTGGCACACAACGCGCCCGTTGCATAGAATAGTTTACGAAAGGGCGTGCCGTTGGTGGATTTGCCGATTTAGAGCGGTACTTGGTTAATTTGCCATAAACATTACATTCGTGTGATTTTGGAATATGTACACGTGCTGTATGTATCATTGCTTTTAACATTTATTCTATTTATGAACTGAACTACACTACTAAATTGTCGAGTAGGCGCGCTTCCAACACTTCAAAGAGTAAACAATAAACTAAAGTTTAAGGACTCGCTACTAACTACTAAAATCTAAGGAATTTTCTAGCGCCAAGTTAATATGTATTGGAATCAGTGTAACGAAATGGTGTGGGTGGTAATCAAAACAAAACGTTGCTAGGCTTAAATCGAATCGTAAATAACATAAAGGTTTAATAACTTCCCGGTGAGGTATATACTTGTACATATGTTGTTTTGCCTTTTCAGTATTTATTCTCTACAAAAATTATATTTATATTCCATAATTATTTATTATTATACTCTCGCAACATGTTGCTACAGAGTATACAAGTTTTCTTTATTGTATATGTTTGAACAAGTACTTAAATTGTGGTTAAGTTGAAAGCCATAAAAGCGTACATGTATGATATTACAAGACTTTTCATCAAAATAAAATTAATATTTTATATAGAAGTAGAATTTTATATGTAATACTCATTTATGTATGCAATGTACAACAAAAATAAGCTATCTAACGGTACCTAATTTTTAAATTCATTTAACAAGAATCCTCCCACCTAATTACACAATGTACTTTACTCTATTCGAAATACATCGGAGTAATATTTAACTCACACCAGACAAGTTTTGTATTGAGTGGCAACTCTATCTATTCGATTTGGAACTATTATACAACGCCTGGAGTGTTAATAATTTGCTGCCCGTCAAATAATACAATTATTCTACCCGCGGCAGACAATGTTAAACTTTCTGTATAAAAAACAGAACTTTAGCCAAAGAACTAAATAAAGGGAATTAATTATAATAGTCCCTAAGATCTCTTGTTGTTAGATTATAACTACGTGTCTCTTGAATACGGCAACTCCTAAGGGTCTAGCATCTACCTTTGCAATTCACCGCCATTTTTTCGGAATTGCGCCGCTCGCTACTCGTTCATGCTTGTTCGTTCATTCGGGCAACGACAACGAAGAAATTTTCAATGATTGGTTGGTCTGTGTGAAAAAATATTAAAATCGTGGAAATAAACACATAAAATAAGTTGAAAATATTTAAAAAATACTGTTCTTTTGTTCTATTTATCTTATTCAATGGAAATATTACGCAAATCGTGTAAAAAGTGCGAAAAAATACATTGAGAAAATTTTGCAGGGTGACTTGTATGATTTTCGCCGCTGAAATCTTTCCACCACCACTAGCGCGAGGCAAGCAACGAGTAGAAAGCAGCCGCCGCAGCAGAGGCGGATTGCGAGAAACGCATTCGCGCCGTTTCTCGTTTTGTGAGACCGCGAGTGACCGCATTTTTGTTCATTTATAATCCTAACTGAATATTCAATACTTATTACCAAGTTTTCATAAAATAGGGTAGTTAATTAACTTATTTATTGGCAAAGAATTCGCACAATAAAGAATATGGATGTATCCAAATTGGATAAGATGAAGGTAATAGACCTTCGAAAGGAGCTGGAAACGCGTGGTCTTGATACTAAAGGTGTTAAAGCGGTATTGGTAGAACGTTTAAGGGCTTTTCTAGAAGATGGCATTGGTAAGTTTTATTTTTTTTTTTTATAAAAGTATAAGATAAATCTGGCATTATGTTCAAGTATATTAATATATATTTGAAAAAAAAAATATAGAAAAAACTTATGTGATCAAGTTTGTACGTTTCAATTTATTTTAAATAAGAGAAATAGAATGGGAAGCTTCATTACGAAAAAAAAAGTTAAAACTTTTAGCTCAAATAGACTTTCATGCATACAGTAGATTTTGGCTACTTTGACTTATTGTAAACAAATATTTGAAAAAAAATATTTCTTTTAATAAGAATCATATATCGTATCTCTAAGTAATTTCTTTTTTTTTTTTCTTTGCTGCAATTTAAACACGATTTTTTAATTGTGTAAAATATTTTATTAAATTATATATTCTCCATTTTGATCCAATACCTTTTGCTATCTTTCGGGCAAGATATTGATTTCACGCTCATAAAATTTTTGATCCTTTTAGGCAAAAAACTGGTTCAAGTGGTTTCTGACGTCCTGATTTCAGGTGAAGGTTTTCCCATCCCAAAAAATTTTGCAGAGACCGGACCAAGTATTAGTACACTACTTCTTTTCTATTGAACAATTCTGGCCTCTTCTGTTTGAGTGCATCACTCAATTTGTCCTGCTGATCACAATACATTTCAGAATTAATCGTGTATTCTCGGGCAAAATATCTAAATAAACATAACCTTTTTATGGTGACTATCGGCCTTAGAAATGGTTTGAGCTGGTTTATAAGTTTTTCACAATTCGTAGCCACTCACAATGTGTTTCGTTCTGTAAGAACATGAGAAACCCTTATGTCAAGCTTCGAAATTAATCCTAAACGTTTAATGTGCGTGTGAACTGTCGCGATGGACAAATTTAATATTTCAACAATCTCTTGAGTTACTCGACGATTTGCATCGACCAACGACTTTTTTTTTATCCACATCGGCTTCAAGAGTCCTGCCAGGACTTGGTGCAAGTACGAAATTTTGCAAAACAAATTTGGCGTTGGCTTTCGGTCAACACATTTTCTTCGTAGTAAGAATTGTGAAGCTGGCTGCGAAAAAATCAAGATCAGCTGGTGTCATCATTAAACGAAATTACTTAGAGAACGACCCAATATTTTTTATTTAAAAATTTTATTATATTGTTTATCAAACTTATATTTCGCATCAGGTTCTGCCCCAGGTACACCAGGAACTCCTGGTAGAAGGTGCCGCCGTACTCGGTCGATGACCCGCTCTCCTTCACCCTCACCAGTAAAAGTTGCAGCAGTGGAACCTAATTTGGAGACACTAGCTGAAGAAGATGATAATGCTAACTCCGAAAATGTCCCTGCTAAAGATGAGGTCAAGGAGATAATCAGCGCAGCAGAAGTCGTTGAGGAACAAAATCAAAACCAAGAATCAGAAGAGATCGATGAAGAGGAGCACACAGAACCAGAGGCTCTTGAAAAAATTGAGCAGAATGGAGAAGAATCAAAAGGGGAGATTGTTGAAGAAGAAAACGAAAATGAAGAAGAAGAAAATCAACAAGAGGAAGAACATGAAATAGAAGAAGAATTGAATAAAAGCGAGATTGAGCCTGCCGAGGATTCTCAAGATAATAATGATAAAGAAATGGAAGTTGATCAAGATAATGAACAAGAAGAAGCAAAGAAAGAGGTTACTGAAAAGCACAATGAAAAGGAGTTGGAAGAAAGTAAGCCAGAAGTAAGCCGTGATAAACGCTCCCATTCACGTTCACATTCCAAAGAACGTCATAATCGTTCTCATTCCCGCTCTCGTTCGCGGTCCCGTTCTCGGTCAAGATCCCGATCGCGCACTCGATCCAAATCCAGATCTCGCACACCGAAACGACGAAGCGGTGCTGGTAGCCAAGGAACACCGTCTAAAGCAGAAGAGGCAACAAATCCTGAAGATGAACCTACCATTGAAGACAAGCAATTCGGTTTAAGTTGGTGTAAGTTGATTTAGTTTTATGATTTGTTGATTTCAGATTTGTATTTTTAGTCATATATTTCGGTTTTTTTAGTCGATTCCGATTTGCATCTACGCATTGATCCGGTAACGTTCACATCGGCGAAACCCATGTCACATGAAATATATTCATTGATTTGGTCTGGAGCACGAACAAATTATGGCGTGCGTGAGGGTAAAGTATGTTTTGAAGTGAGATTGGCAGAAGAAACACAACTAGGCCGTGCACATCAATTCCGCGATGAACCTCATGTGCGTGGATTTCGTGTCGGCTTTTCTTTGCCTGACACAACTTTATTGCTGGGCGAAGCAGAAAATTCATTTGCTTATTGTGAGTCCGGTCGCAAAGCAACTAATTCAGAATTTACAGAATTTTCAAAACCTTATCAACTGGATGATGTAATAGGATGTTATTTGGATTTAGAAAGTACGCCTTGCAACATTAAATATACTTTAAATGGCGAAGATCTTGGCGTGGCTTTTGAATTTGACAAAAGTATTTTGGGCGATAATGGTGCACTATTTCCACATATTGTGACTAAAGGTTATGAGTACCATGTCAATTTTGCTGACAATGAAAATTTACTAGCGAATGTGGAAAGACCGAAACGTATGCGGCGCATACCGAAAAAGGAAAAAGAAGTTGAGAAAGAAAAGGATAAAGATAAGAATGAAAAACCCAAAGAAGAAACCAGTAAAGTCCCGGAAGAAGGTGGTGAAAAATCTGAAGAAGAAGTTGCTGCTAAATCGGAAGCTGCCACCCTTGAGGATGAGGAAATGAGGGAAAAAAGTGATGATGACAATGAAGTAACGGAAAGTGAAAAGGCGGCCGAAAAAGCGGAAGGTGAGAGCTTTTTTTTTTATTATTATAAAATGATATTGTGTACCAGAACACAAGTTTTTTTTTGTAGTAGCTAATAAGTTGTAAGTAGTAAGGGTTGTTGTACGCTATGTGTAAACTCGTCATGCAGTTGAATATATTAATTTCGTTTAAAAAGAGTTATTATTCAAAGCATATTATATATTTTTAGAATCCAAACCGGCAGGCGAAGAAGATGAAGAAGAACAGAAATCGAGCGAGAAAGCTGAAAATGTAGAAGCAAATGGTGATAACCACGCCGCAGTTGAAGATCAAGCAGAAGATAAAAAAGAAGAAAATGCAAAAGATAGCAAGAAAAAGGAAGAAGAAGATGTGGATGGACCCTCACCAAGCAAACGTAAGCGTCTTGATGATGCTAAAGAGAAACGTCGCGAATCTTCCGATGAAGATGAATATGAAGAAATCATACCGGAAACACGTGAGCCAGTCTTTCTATTGACCGGTTATGAACTGATCGCATTGATACCAGAGGAAAAGTATGTACCTGGTCCACAGCGACCTAACAGTCGGAAGGAATGCGAAGTTATTCTGTTAGTAGGCTTACCCGGTGCTGGCAAAACCCATTGGGCATTACAACACATTAAAGAAAATGCCGAAAAGCGTTATCACGTGATTGGAGCAGATACATTGATTGCCAAAATGACCGTAAGTAGATGAAATTACGACGTAACTTTTTATTCGTAAAAGTAAACTTATTTTCAATAAATAATTAATTAATTTCAGATTGATGGCGCACCACGTAAACCCTTACATAAGGGTCGTTGGGAACGTGTCTACGAATTATGCTTGAATAATTTGTCTCCATTAGAGGAGATTGCAACCAAACGACGTCGCAATTTCATACTTGATCAGGTAATTCGGTAATATTCGGTTGCTTTTAGGTTGACGAATTCAAAGCAATATAGTTTTGGTGCAGAAAAGGCTAACAGCAAAACTAGTAGGAAAGAAAAGGTTAAATAATAAATTTGCTATCTTAGAAAAGATGATGAAGTAAGAAAAACCAGTTCTTGTTAAAAAAAAATTGCTTAATTTTGGTAAATATATGTAGTTGTGTACGTAGACCTCTTCACGATTTGTAACTTATAATTTTTTTGTTTTGATATTTTGGGAAAAGCTGTTGGATTGTGTGTTTGTTCTGTTTGTATAAGAAGGAAATATTGTGTATTGCATTTGGATGGAAAGTACTAAGTGTGGGACATCTTCGCAATCGCTGACAAAATCATATAGTTTTCAGGAGAAACTGAATTGAGTAAAGTTACAACAACAAATATAAAATAGTTCACACAATCTGTCGGGACATAAATATCCGTAGTTTGGAAAAAGAAGAAGAGATCGACCGCACATGGACAGCAAGCAGCAAGAAGAGCAGCCTGCGTCTTATTTATCACAAACGCAAGAACAATCGGTCCAACAACTTTTTTCAAAACTCGCGCATTTAAACATAGCTACATATGTATGAATTTTATCATATCGATTTTCTTTTTTTATTTTGTGTTTGCGATTACGGATTTTCTTCATACTAATGCTGTTAGCTTTAAAACAGTTAAGTTGAAAGCAAGAATTAAAGTTGTAGAGAGTGTTTGTTGAGCCATTTAGATTTTCGAAAATTAATATATTAATACTTAAAATAGGCAACAAAACGAAAGCATAGCATTTATTACTTTTTCTTTTTTTTCTTTTTATTTATTGATTACATAATATGTTTGACATATTAAAATGTTATTTCCGTCCTATTTAAGCAAAACACAAATTTAATTTTGCCCCTCTGAAAACATGTTTGCGTTCATATAACGCCTCTTTCTACACACACACACTTTTCAAGTTTTTCATGTATTTATAGTAAAAATATATTTTTTTAAATTTAATTTGCTATTAAAAAGTCATTAATTGAATCCAAACTGTCATTAACAACTTTGCTTCCAACGCAAGTGAGTTAAGGCAGCAACAAACAAAAGCAAGTAAGTTTTAGAAATGTAAGTTGCTCGTGTCACTATCATTATGTATATATACCGTGAGTATAATTGGGTTGTTTAGTCGGCGTCATCACCAACAAGCAGCAGCAACAGTTAAACTATTGTATTCGAAGAAAATGTGAATTACTTAAATGACAATGGAAAGAGAAGCGTGCGGCAAGAATGCCTGTAAGTACATAGAAGCCAGAAAGAAAATATTGACGTACACTACTAGTGCCGTTATTGCTCATATTATTTGAATATTCCTTTTGTCTAAGCAATCCACTACTAGATTCATCCAAAATGAGTGCCATAAATTTCTTATATGTCCAACAGAGAGCGTAAAACATTTCAAATAGTATTTTACATGGTTATATCGCTGCTTATTTATTGTGATGAAAATAATAATGAAGGTATGTTTATAGTATTAAGTTATTTTAGCACTATCGGTTTGGGTTTATTTACATATATGAGAAAAGCGATGCCGTTAAATTTGAAAACAAATTGTATTCAATCATGTGTGAGGAAGTATATACAGTTTAAGATCAGAGTTGTTATGTCAATTGAATGTTAAATACAGTATGAAAGTATGCATTGTGTACAAGTATATTAGAAACGAAATGCGCCAAACAACACTCGCAACAACTCGAGCAACATTTATGAAATGTTTTTTTTACCTACTACTACCACTGCTGATGTACCTACAAGCATAAAATCAAAATTGATAAAACAAAAACTTAATTTCTGCTACAACAACAATTTGTCAACCAACAACCTCATCCACATGTGATCATGATTTTGTAGACCAATGCATACGCATCCGCACAACGGCGCAAAATGAAAGGTTTCGGCGACTTCAAACGCATTGCTGTCGTTTGCATACCAAATGAAGAAGAATTGAAACGGCGCAACACTGAGAAAACAGAAAAGGGCAATGCCAATACAATTAGAGAATCAACATTAAATAATTTACGAGGTAATTATCTAAAATGAAAAAAATAAAAAATAAATAAATAAAGCAAACTAAGAACGTAAGCACGTATTGTAAATCCACAAAACAAAAACAAAACAAAAAATAATCCTAAAACAATTTTTTTTTTAAACATATATTTGAAATTGTTAAAAGAATAGAAAATGCGAAAAGTGTTTGTCTCTTAAATTAATTAGGGTTTCAAATTACATATTCTGCCATTTTTTAAGTTTACATACATGTATATTATACTATTTTCTTAACAGTTATAAAGTATTTACGCGCTGTTTGTGCGTTCATACAATTATTTTAAATAGTCGGTGTATATGTAAGCCATTTTACATTTTTTGTTTTTTTAATTTTTTTTTTGTTTAATTTACAGGTGTAACCACAATATTACTATATTTGTGTACTACATGAATATTTTATACGTATATGTACTTAGAAGTATATGTATATTTGTTTATACCATAATTTTCTGCATTTGTTTATGTATTAAGTGCTACAATTTGCGAATGGACATCGAAATTTTGTTGGATTTAAAATATCCACACACCATTTCCAAAATGAATACATAACTGCCACACCCTAGATTTCCACGAAATCCACTCGACACTTCCTTCTGGTGTTATTTAACCTAAACATGGTGTCTGCTTATTCATATCCACATTTCCACACTCTTCGAGACACTTCAATATTCACATAACTATAATCATTCAAAAAGATTTTAACATTAGCCAGTTATAATTATTTAAAAAGAAATTTTCTTGAAACTTACTTCGCCTGTGAAAGAGTCCTTAAATGTGTTGCTTTTGCAATTAATGTAAATGTAGACAACCGCCCCTTAATCGTTGGGTTGGTTGTTATAACTCCAGCTGTAACCAATTTTTACTTTTATTTAAGTCTTGACTAAGGAATATTCCAGAAAAGCTTACTTTTGCTTCCAGTCACAGCCACTTCGTACGAGGACTTTTACTTGTATATATATATTATATATTTTTTCACTTTACCACTTGTAATGTTGTCGACTGGCTATTTTTCTGTGCGTTCACCTTCAACTTCACGATATATATATGATCCGCGAGACTTTACTTGTCTCTTAATCCAACTTCATAAGTGATCCACGCACAGTATTTTTTTTAAACATTTTTTTTTGTTGTAGCAAATTAAAAACTGAATTCAAAAACATCGCTTGATTTGTTATTTATGTCAAACTCAAACAATTTTATTCTTTGGAAATTTGCTTACAGCCAACTTTACGCTGCCATCAATTGATCTGGATTGGTTTGACGAAGTAATCTATACTGACCTTAGTGGTGATGAGGCTAAGGCGGAGGTAAAACGTTACAACGAGAAAGGCAAGAAAGCTTTGGATGAAAGTCAACCGAATAAACGCAATCGGCGTGATCATCGTCAGCGCGGAGATGACCGACGACATCGCGATGGTGGCGGCGGTGGCGGTGGCGGTGGCGGACGACGTGATTTTCATCGTTGGAATGATCGACGCGGTGGTGGTGGTGGCGGTGGCCACTCAGGTGGTGGTAATCGCTGGGGCGGCGGCGGTGGTGGAGGTGCTGCCGGCTACCGTGCTGGCTGGCGAGACGATCGCGGTTATGGCGGAGGCAGTGGTGGTGGTGGTGCAGGAGGTCGTGGCTATGACAATCGTAACAACCGATATAGCAATGGTCCACAGAACTGGCCGCAAAACAATCGTGGTTCTAATCGCTATGAAGATCGATACAATCGTTCGGGCGGCGGAGGTGGTCGCTATGATTCTGGTGGCGGCGGTGGTCGTTACAGTTCTTATGGTGGCAACAGCGGTGGAGGCGGAGGTGGTGGCGGACGAGACTATCGGGATCGCGATCACAGAGAACGCAATGCAGGCGGTGGTGGTGGCGGCGGCGGTCGACGCGACAACTATCGGTCCGGTGGTGATAGCCAGCGGGATTTTCGGCCTGGCCACCGCGACAATCGTACAGAAGATAGTCGCGGTGGCTATGAGCGTTCGGGTGCGACCGGCGGCGCGGCCACAAAGTACGGCAGTAATACAAATAATGCTGTCGCCAGTGGAAGTGTCCAAGGTCAAACTGGCTACCATGCGCAGGGACATGCGCAACATAGTCAGTACAATAGCAACAAATCAGCGACTACAGGAATGGGAGGTGGCAAGGTGAGTGCGGGATTCCTATTGCAATTAAAAATTTTCTTTTTATTAAATAATTATTTGCCACGTTCATCATAGAGTTCATCGCAAAGTGGTGGAAAATGGAGCTCTTATGGCCAGCAGCAGTCACAACAACAACAACAGCAGCATCATCAAATGTCCAGCGGCGGCAATTGGCAACAAGCGTCACACCATCAACAATATCAACAGCAGCAACAGCAACCCGCCGCACAACAACAGTACTGGGGCTACGGTGACATGCAAGGTGAGTAGGCGAATTGTGTGTTTTTAATTCACATTTTGACTGACTACCATGCTCGGTCCATAGGCTATGGTAATGCTCAACAACAACAAGCACAACAACAGCATCAACAATGGGGAAACACCGATTCAAGTCAACAACAAGATTGGCTAGCATGGTGGCAGGTAATAAATGTTATAGCAATGTGAAGAAAAAATATATTCACTAACAATTATTATATTTTTTTTTAGCAAAATCAACAGCAAACCCAAACGACTGCCGGTATAGGCAATACCAATGATGCGAACCAATATTGGTCACAATACTCCTACCAAACGACAATGACGGGCAATGGTAGTAGTGGAGTTGACACTGCTGGGAAAAAGTGAATATCCTTGCAGCAGCATGCGCAGTGACATAGTACAATTTCAATATATAGAAGGGGGAAAATAAAAGGGGAAAGGAAATAACAAATTTTATTGTCGTACACATGGATATAACGCGTTGAAATACACCTACAATACAACACCTTAATCACAAACCTATGGAACATACATACATACATATACACACACACAATAAGCGGTGCAGATATCGCAGGAATGCTTGAAAGCATGTGTAAAGTAAATATAGTTTTGAATTAAAACATTGATTACATACCTATATACACTAGCACATGACATGAAAAGACACAAACCAACGCAATTCAAATAACACAGTTAAAGATATTTAGTTACTTGTTGCAATATGCCGCAAGACGCATCTTTATTCAACACCAGCCATGAATAATTTACATTCGAAACATGGAAAACACACAATAAGAATTATCTATGTATATGTCCCTCCGCATAACTACTTATCAACAATTAAATACACCAACAACTCCCGTCATTTTTGTATAATTAAAGTTAAGCAAATTAGCGTATAAAAAGTATGAATAACATTCAGTTTTAATTGCTTTCTTACATTATTATTACTGCTACAAATTTGTATTATTTTACTTATTCTATGTTCTTGTTCATTTTCGTGTTTATTTGCAACAAACAAAATAATAGCTTATTCCTTTTTAGTTGTTCAAATTTTATTTTTAAACTTTAGAATGTTAATCTATGAAGTTCATTAGGAACATTGAAATATGAAAATTGGAAAAAAATGTTCTTCAACTTAGCGTTTAAATTATTCTTGTTACACAGAAAGCTTGTCTATTATCAAAAAACCTTATAATTTTTATTAATATTATCATTTTCAATTGAATATTCATATATTATTAAACAAATAGCTGAAGCAATAGTACACTGAAAATGAGTAAATATTGCATAAATCAAAGAACAATTGAAAATTTAATAAATTTAAGTACATGCCGTAAGTGGTAAAAAAAACAATATAATGTTGTGTTTACTTTATTTACTTTGTAAAGGAGGAAATTGTGTCGTCTTTAAGGCAATGCAGTGTTCGATAAAATGGTTGAAAATCTACAAAACTCACTACACATAAAATATAGAAATCAACGGATTGAATTACTAACGTATACAGTTGGAATTCGCAAATAACGGAATCAATCAGTTTACCATTCCTAGGCTTGGTCGTGGAGAAAATATTCACTAATGTATTACACAAGGCACATTTACATAAATAAATACATTTTAATTTTTAAGTATTCATAGAACCGTACGAATGTCATAAAAAGAAACAAACTGGTGTAATTAATCCTACATAACAACTGAAACCGTTATGTACATAGTTACCTTAAAATGCCGACTAATAAATTCGATAATGCTTTGTTATGGTATTTAAATATTAGAATTTTTATTTTAACCATTTCAAAGCCTAATCGGTGGAAAATGCGTATTGCTACATTTATTGTACAGCAGCCATATCATTTGTAGCATTATTGTTATTGTAACGGTTATCTAATTTCCGTTTGGTTGGTAATGTTCAAGTTGGTTGTCATGTAGCATTAGTGTGATTCATCGGTAGGAGAAGTCAAATGAAATACGGAGTATGTATATATGTATCGACTTAATGTTGATATTTGACATTGCTTATTCTTGAAAAAGCATATGATAACAATTGGCAATGACAAGTGCTTTTGTCACTTATTTATATGCTTTGGAATAAAATCTTGTTTATGTATATTATAGGGTACAACCAAAGGTTATCAGATTTTTTTGGTTTATCAAACTCCAGTTTCTTGAACTTTATTATAATGATATATTTAGGTATATAATTTTTTTTTTTTATGAACTTAATTAGTGTTATCTTTAAATTTAAGTAAATTAATTTTAATTATTTCTGATGATTCTGAAAACAAATCTTTTCAAAGTACAAAATATTTTAATTTAATAACGGGAAGGCAAAAAAGAAAAATGTACATACTTTTATTTTAAAATATCTATTAAACTGAAATTTAAATACTTTACATGAATGTATGCCTACCAAAATAATATATATGCGCGAGTTTTAAAGACTACCCAAATACATGAATGTACTAATTGCTAAAAAATAAATGTACAAATATTCGCATAAGGCTGCTACCACACTTTCAGTTTTACACCCATATCTTTATCTTTATATTGTTGTAGTTATATTCACTTTTTACCCAACAACTTGTTAATTTCCTTATTTTGTTTATTCATCTTCAAGTCCACATCTTCAATTTTATAATTCATATTGTCCAATAATTCATTTTGTGATTCGATTTCACTTCCCAGATCAGTGGCAAGAAATTTTAAACGTGACAAATTATCGCACATTTCGTCTAAATTCGATTCTAATTGTGTTTGGAATGGATTATTGCTGCGTTGAGCTTGTATTTGTTCACGTTGCTTAATTGCTGTAGAATCATTCCTAATGCGACTTATAGGATGATTGTCATAACGTTCTGTTGGCGACATAGCTGGTGGTGATTTGCTAATATTAACAGTAGTTTCTGTTGATTCCTCGTTTTGACCAAATTGATTGACACCACTTTGTGTACTCGGTGTACGGGTTAAGGGTACATCACGATTACCGGATAAATAGTTTTTAAGACCTCCAAACACGCTTTTCAAGCCGTTCAAATGACGTTGGCTAAAGCGCAGTGTTGAATTGATTTCGTCTAACTGTCGCGAGGTGTTCTCTAATTGTTCTCGTTGTTTCGCCAACTCAGCTGCTGTAGCTTTGCCTACATCTTCCGTTTCATATAACAAACCTAAAATTTTTTTATTTTATTTAGTATATAATGAAAATATATTGCCATTTCTTATTTACCTAAACTACGCTGTGTAGACTCCAACGTGCGAGACTCAATTTCTCTACGTCTCTCTGCATAAATCTGTTGAGGGTCATCAAATGGATTGGTGCTACGACCACCAACAGCACCCTCCATTCCGCTATCACGTCCCGATATTGTGCTATTGGAGCGAGAGTTATTCAAAAAAATATCATCATCTACATCTTCTAGATCGCCTGCATTCAAGTCGAAGTGATTATTCACTGGCTGCAAGTAATTATCGGCCATGACTTCCTAGCTCGGGAGTATTTCTTATGCTTCTATTACTTAAACGAAAAATGTGATTTACTTTTTAAAAAATTTACAATTTAAATTTGATGTTTTATATAAACTATTTATATTGTGATCTCTTTAAAATTAAAGATATATAAACCAATGATTTTGTTATTCTCGTTTCGTTTCTTTTATACACAAAGAAAATTTCTTTCAAATACTCCCCCTATTTCGATAAACGTCAGTAGAAAATCAAGAAAAAGCGGCCAGCTGATATAACATGGGCTTGCCATACTCATGCATTTTTATTAATGAATTTCTGCAACAACAACCCTGTTTTTGTTTTTCTTTGGTTATCATTCTATTTTGTTTGGTTGTTCTTCTAAGTTCTCTGGTTTGACCACCGATATTTTGGCGCCAACAAATCATCGGACAATTATAATTTTTACGTTAGCAGGAGTTTTGATATACATATATATTTTATTTAAGTAATGGCTTATGAACGCAGCTCATTGCGCTATGCGCATACTAATGGCTTCACAAGTCTCACATTTACGGAGGACGATGAATCCATAATTACGTGTGGCTCTGACGGCGATATACGCGTATGGCGAGGCATCGACGATGATGATCCCAGCTCTACTTGTCTAGGTGAGTTTGTTATGTGTATCGCACATAGCGGCAAACGCCTACTGGCTTCCACTGACCGAAATACTGTGCAAGCATACACATATCCAGAGCTGGACAGTGATGGCATATTAATGCGTTTTACTGCGCCAGTCACTTGTCTTCGTGTGCACGAGAAATACGTTGCTGCTGGTTCAGATGACACAAATATAAAGGTGTTAAAAAGTGATGATTGTAAGAGCGAATTTCATTTACAAGGGCATGGTGGACCTGTGCTCGGTATAGATATTTGCAATAAAGGTGAATTGCTAGCTTCCATATCGGGTGATGGTAATTTGAAAATTTGGAATCTGAGTCAGAGTGGTACAGAAGTGAAAAGTATTTCGGGGTTACCTAAAACGAATAGTTTTGAAAACGCAGAGCATTTTGGAACACCTTGTTTTGAGCCACAAAGCAGTAAGTCGCTGGCATATGTGCATGGTAAAGAGGTTATAGTGTTGAACACAGACACCTGGGAAGTGAAATTTACGCTGTCTGACGAACGAAACAAAGGAGAGTACACATGTTGCCACTTTTCAAAAGATGGACAATTTCTTGCAGCAGGAACAACAAAAGGCGAAATAAGCGTGTTTGATTTTTTAAGAAAGCAGTCGCTGAAAACGGAAGCACCGTCAAGCGAATGTCAATCTATTACCAGTATAAGTTGGAATACTACAGGTACCGAATTAGCCTATTGTGATGTGACTGGTCAGTTAGGAACACTATTTCGTACAAAAGGGTGCACACATGGTGCAGCATTCGCTGATGGCGAAGCGGAGGAAGTTGATTTCGGTGATATTGAGTTCAACAATGATGATAATGATGGTTTGGCGAGTGCCAATGGTTTGGATGCAAATGATGAAAGTCGTGGCGATGATGAAGATGATGGTATCTCAATTGAACGTCTTAAGAATCAAGTGATGCGGAAGGCTGGTGGTTTTTCGTATGAACCGGATGAAAATACGCGCGATTCCTTGCCTAAATCAATACATAGCGATATTGAACCGCAACCGCTAGTAAAGTCTTTTAAACAACAACCTGCATTCCAACCAGGTGCAACACCAACCCATCTTGAGCATCGTTATCTGGTTTGGAATGATGTTGGTATTGTGACAGCACATACAGAAGGTACTGACGGTTCACTGGATGTGGAATTTCATGATGCCAGTGTACATCACTCATTGCACATCCCAAACTATAGCAACCACAACATGGCCAGTTTGAGCACGAGTGTATTGGCGTTGTCTGCTGAAAATTCAACCAAATTAGTATGCATTGCGCTGGCAACATCCGGCAATAAGGAATGGTCGGTAACATTTCCAGATTGTGAAAGTACCGAGGCCTTAGTGGCAACCAACAAATTAGTGGGCGTCGTCACCAGTATGCAATTTTTGCGTTTGTTCACCGTAATGGGCACTCAACGTGAAATAATATCTATACCAGGACCGGTATTGGCAGTGGCTGGTCATGAGGATCGTATAATGATACTTTATCATAGTGCTCCACCTGGAACACTTCAACAGCATTTATCCGCGATGCTAATACAAACATCCGGCATGCAACTACGCACTCAACACCTCACAGTGCCCTTAACACCCGAACGTCGTCTGACATGGCTTGGTTTTTCAGATTGCGGTTCACCTGTATTTTCTGATTCTATGGGTTTATTGCAATTATATAGCCTGAAGAGTCAGTGTTGGTATCCAATCTGTGATACTTTAAAACAAAGTCAAAGCGTTTCAAACAATTATTTTATTATTGCTGTATCAGAACGTAGCCAAATTATTCAAGCGGTATTGTGTCGAGGCAGCTCATATCCAATGACTAATCCACGACCAATGACACAGGAGTTGACATTACAGTTACCCGTTTGTGACATTGAAGTGGAAAAGTCTGACTTGGAGGATGCGTTAGTGCGTGCTTCAATTATGAATATGGACAATGCTGATAAGATAATTAAGGAAACGGCAATAAAACTTTTCGCATTGGCCTGTCGCAGTGAAGTGGAAATGCGTGCCAAAGAGCTCATTGAAACTATTGCTTGCCCAGAACTCTTGCTCTTGGCAGTGAAATATGCCACAAAGCTGGGACGTATACATCTTTCAGATCGTTTGTCGGAACTGATGCCCCAACTTGAGGAACAAAATCAACGTGAACGTCAAGAGTTACACGAATTTGAGCAGTACAACAATGTGACACTCTCGCCTGTTATGCGTTCACAAAGCCCCAGCTTTAACAACAGTGCTTCATTTGGAAATCGAATTGCACCGAAGGCAATGGAATTAACACAAGCGCGGCGTGCATCACTTAAACGCTTTGCTATGTCCAATTCTCCAATTACTTTCGGGAAAAAATCGGCAATCTTAAGTACTACGGATCGCAATTCTTCGCAAACACCTACCCCATCCAACATAGAAGCAATTGAATCACAAGAAAACATTCCAGATAAAAATGCTGAGAAGTTGGACTGTGTCAATGATGAAATAAAGGAGGTAGCCCGTACACCGCTTAATGCGGTAAATCCGTTTGCAGCCAAACGCAAACATTCCGAAATTGATTCCTCCAATAAAGGTGGGGTTTTAATCAATGGTGGTAAATTGAAGATAGTAAAGAGTAAGTAAAAGAATATGTTAAATAATAAGCATAACTATTGAGAACAATAAGTTTGTATCTATGTATTTAAGTGTAGTACCGTATTTTATGTGTTTAAATATATTGACAATGTATTCATACCCAGCTTTCTTTTTAATTTTTCTAATATACGGTTGTGGTTATAAGTACTAGCAACTCTGCGTTTCACTTATGATTGATGCTTTTTGTGGTTTTATTTCCGCTGTGAATCGAATGGTTTGCTTCCGCTAAGGTTAGACGGTTAATTAATTCATTTGTATATGTGGTGTTTAATGCAGAAAGACAAATTAATAACTTATATATGATAAGCAGAGTTAATTATTTTTCGCTTAAGGTTTCAACTGATAGTTTTGATTCTTTTATGAGTTGTTATTATCTTTAATCGCTCAATTCCTGTTTGATATTTTGGAGTTATTTCCCTTATGGCTATCATTTCAAATATACTCATATAGTTGGCAAACCCGACGTCTTTGTTATTTAGTTGGCAACGCATTGCTCACAACAAAAAGCAGCTGCTAACGCTTCACAGCTGATCGATCCTTAAAAAATGCATACCGGGATTCATATTTGTTATTACATGATTTCCAATTGTGTCGTATTAAAAATATAAGTTAACATGTTTAAAAGTATTCGGGAAATAAGTTCAAAACAACTGCTACAAACATGTAAAACGGGTTTTTATAAAAAAGGTTGTCAAAACAAAGCTGTGAATTATAGCACACAACCTGCATATCAAATAATATTTGATAGAAAAGCCAAGCGTTTACAAAAGGAACGTGCTGCTCTAAAGTAAGTAAAATGTAATACGAGGAAAGTATTCCGAATTTTGTATGTCTTAAGTGTGTTTATTTATTCATGAATATCTATTTTGTCCCCTTCAAAGTAATCACCTCTAGATATATGCACTTATGCCAGCGTTTTTTCCAATTCTCAAAGCACTTAAAAAAGCAATTTTTTGTGATCTTGTTCAGCTCCTCCTTCGACGCAGTTTTTATTTCCTCAATTCATGAATAAATAAACACTTTCTTAAGAAATATAAAAATCGCGATACTTTTGGAAAAAACCTCGTATATTAGTAATATATTTTTTGAGAGTAAAAATAAATGAATCAATCTATAACAACATAGCCCGGATGTAGAGCTCTATGACTACTTGAAAGAAGAGGTTGGTTTTCGCTTAGCGGATCGTATCATTGATATAAAACGTGAATTTACAAATGCCGCTGACATTGGTTGCAGTCGTGGCTTTATTTCCAAACACATCATGGCAGAAAGCGTACAGCATTTAACGCTATGCGACACGAGCCCTACAATGCTGGCGCAAGCACAAGGCACACCAGGTCTGAAATTAACTAAATTAGAGGTGGACGAGGAGAAATTGGATGTAATGTAACAGTTTAAATATTGATATATTTATTTCTTATATTATTTAGAGAAATTTGCTTACAGTTTCCGGATAACTCATTAGATTTAGTTATATCCAGTTTGAGTTTGCATTGGGTTAATGATCTACCAGGTTGCTTTTCGAAAGTAATACGTAGCTTAAAACCTGATGGTGTTTTTATAGCTTCTTTGTTCGGTGGTGATACACTATATGAGTTACGCTCATCGCTACAATTGGCTGAAATTGAGCGTAAAGGTGGTCTTTCGCCGCATATTTCGCCTTTCACGCAGGTTTTTTTTTTATTACAACGCACTATAGTAAGTGAATGAAATATAGTTTTTCATTTACATAGATCAGAGACGTAGGGGCTTTGCTGAATCGTGCTGGCTTTACCATGTTAACCATTGATACCGATGAAATTGTAGTGGGTTACCCTAGCATGTTTCAACTCATGTGGGATCTAAAAGGTATGGCAGAGAATAATGCAGCTTTCAATAGGCCAGCGCATATAAGTCGCGAAACAATGTTGGCGGCAAGTGCTATTTATAAGGAGTTGTACGCTAAGGTATATGCACACTTTGTATACTTCAAAGTTTGTAAAGAATAAAACTAAAATTAACACTTTAGGATGATGGCGTGACGGCGACATTTCAAATAATATATTTTGTCGGCTGGAAACCGGGTCCGAATCAACCCAAACCTCTGGAACGTGGCAGTGGTGATGTTTCGCTAAAGGATTTAAGCAAGATTATCGAATCTGGCGGACCAAAGAAAACGTAATAAAAGAGTGATGGTGCCAATTTAATAGAAGTATGCATAACTGTGCGGCCAATGCAGTCGGAACGTTTTATGAAGAAAACTCACTTTTGTATTATAGCAAATGCTGTCTTTATTGACTTTAGAAATGATAGTCTTTAAATATTAACGTAAATAAGCACTATAGTACGTATAGCAGTATACGCACATACATATGTATACAAAGTGTGGTAATTTTTCTTTTATAAAGTGTTTTATTTTCTTTGAGTTTTGCATATTAATTTTTGAAAATATAAACATTAGCGAGTATCACTTTGGTAAAATATATTTTTGTTTTCTTTTAGACGCCAAATTTAAAATAAATATTTCTTTATATACATGCTTCTTTGTGTATGTACACACATATGTACATATCTGAACTGTTTTTGCATGTCGTAAGCATATATTTAGCACACTTAGTGACTTAAGCATAAATAGTTATACAAATATATACTTAAAAAGTAATATTACAAATAAAAAATAATTCTTCATAGGGACACTGCCATGAAGAATTCCAGTACAGCATAGAAATATACAATACATACATATGTATAACACAAATTATTAAACTATTTATAAAAATTATATTATTTCAATTCAATTTTGCGTATTATAATTATATATGTATATTGCTAATATTTGCTTTTTACACATTGACTTTTATTCTCATTCGTTTTGTAATTTTATTTCTCTTATAAATGGACGTAATTCATTAACGTTTTTGTTTTGTTTTGTTTTTGTTAATCATTAGTGCCACTTGCAGTGCGTTTTTCACTCTTCACTTTCAATATTTAATAATAATAATTTACAACTAACATTATTTTTTCTTTAACTGTGAACTGTAAATGGTTTAAACTCTGCTGTTTTGTAAATTTTGGCTTAACATTTGTGAATATTTAAAGTTTCCACTTTTTATACTTCATTTGCATTGAATTTTACTTGCTGTTAATAAATGCAATGCAAGCCTGTCTATTTGTATGTATGTATGTATGTAACTACTATGTATGCGTTTATGCCATTGAACTTGTAAACGTTTTGAGTTATACCATCTATTTAGTGGTTCGCCTATATTGCTTTGCATTCTAAATTTATTGAAGAACAGTAAAACTTTTGTTATTTCTTATAAATTTGTAACATGTATGTATGCATGCAAGAGCTTTTAACTTTATTTAATACCATACATGTTTGCTATAGAAAAAAATATTTAAAAAATTGTATAATGCATACTTTTACATATAAAAATGCTAAAATTTTGTAAAGATGTGTATTTGTAATGTTGCGAAACGTAGCACATAATACTACTTTTTAAAGTAAAAAAGGTACACATATACAATACATATGAGGAATGGAATTGTATTCTAAAAAACTTTTGCAGAAAGTGTAAATGCCTTAAAGAAAGGAAATATAAGTGTTAAGACAAAGGACTCGATTATGAGCGTTATGAGGATAGGCTAAGTAGAACAGCCTGTAACTAACTTTTTCCTACCAAGGACCGTTAACTTGACAGCATACTTCAAAAGCATTTGGGGAATGATTGAGGTTATTATTTAAACTAGTTAATAAATATTGTAAATATGAAGTCAAACTGACAAGTTATGAACAGTACATTAAGTCGCTCTGATGTCTTTCATTCAAAATTTTGATGTTCCCGTTAATAGGAAGTGCTTAAACGGATAAACGGACAGAGTTTGTAAAAAACTTATGAGCAAATAAATTTCTTAAAATTTACATTTTAATTTGGTTTCAAAAGTAAGACTATGTAATATTTTAACAGTCAATTTACAGACTGCGAGTTTACTGATGTTGACTTAAGGGGTTACATCGGTTTCACGGTTTCAAAACAAAAAAAAATCCTTATTTAATTCTTTAACATCTTTAGAATATTGGTCCGAGTAATAGTTTTGGAGTTTTAGTCTTGAAATGTTGCGTGCTCGAGGTCAGCTATATAGCCACTTAAAACGCGTTTTTCTCGAAACTGTTTTCAATGTCGGTTGTCAATATTTCTCATGAAGTACTCAACTGATCTTAATGAAATTTTACACAGGTCTTCGAGATATAATTATTTAATTACCAGGTCTTGAACGAAGAAGTTTTTTGTTCAATTACAACTTTTCAAAATAACAAAAACAAAAATAATTTAAGAAAATCTTAATTTTTTTTGTAAAAACGTCTGCCATAAATAAAATTTCCACTTTTTTATTTTTCCTTCATTCAATACCTAGTTTATGGGTTTAACCAAAGCACGTATTTTTTGCTTTTTTACTTTTGATGAGACTTCCTGTAAGAAGTTCTTCTGCCGAAAACGACGTTGTAATGACCAAGTTTTGAAATTTTCGAATTGAAAACTTCACAAAATCTTTGTAAAATATATATGTATACTTCAAATAATGAAAAGTTTGAATAAAATATATAACTTTTTATATAAAAAAAAAAATATTAAAAATATGCCGTTTTTTGTAACCTTTTAATACAAACTTTGGATCAAACTAGCTTAAGAATAAGATTACATTATTCAAAATTAAATCTGCCAATTATTTTATTGCGAAAAGTGTTATATAGAAACAGGTTGTTACTTAGAGATTTAATCCGCGACTTTTTAATTTCTCATGCAAAGCTCGAATTATAAAATGTATTGTAATCATAAATAAAAATGAAATATTTATGAAAATCAATATACAAAATGTCGTTCTTAAAGGTAATACGAAAAGGTTTTAATTCTAAACAAAGTTCTTGTACAACAAGCACCAATAAAAAAAAGAAAGGAAGAAAAATAAGAAGGTACAATTAATTCTATGTACTTACAATTTGAAAATGTTTTGTTTAACAAAAAGTAAATAATATTTAATTCTTATGATTACCATCCGCACCTTCACTGTATTTGCGTGGAAAAGAAAGCACTTTCGATTGGTAATTCTATTTGGTTGAATTTATGAATTGCTAAATTGCTCCTGGACACACTCTTCCTCGACAATTGTGCCGTTTGGTGAACGCATATGATAAATGCCGCCTAATTTTTGCGTCACTTGGTGATGATGCTTTTGTTGTTGCTGCGGCTGCTATCCAATTGACAGCGCAGCACCGCCGCCTGCGCGTCGTAAAGGCGACATAGACATCGGCGGCATAGCAGTGTGTGCAGTTGTTGGCTGTTGACGCGTTGGTGTTGGCGTTGGCGTAGGTGTTGGTGTTGGTGTTGTAGTTGGCGGCGGCGGTGGTGTTGCTGAAGGCGATACTGTAAAGTGTTTTGTTGGCGTTGCTGACGCCGAGACCGATGCTGACGATGTGGAAGTAGATGTATTCATTACGGTACCGGACACACCGCCGCTCGCCGCTGTTATAGATGTACACGACGTGGACGTAGTCGCTGTCCCTGCCGCGAGATTTGCCTGTCGTCAGGTGGTGCTCAGAAGCAATATTTCACGTTGTGGCGTATTTTGCAAGGCGTTAGCCGTCTTTAAGTGAATACTGTGCGCAGTGTACGTGAAATGAAGAGAGATTTAAATTACTTTAAGAGTATATTTTTTTATTATTTCAGAGGTAAATTTCAAAGTGTTGCTAAATATGTTTCAATGCTCTAAAAAAAAACGAAACATTCAGTTAGGCACGGAGTCTTGAATTCTCTAAATATTTAACGAGATATATGCGTTTACGTAACTGGAACGAACACGGATTTATATTCGAATAAGGTCGATCACCATAGCTGAATAATATCTAAATTTGTCGGGAACAGTTTGTGCTTGTACAACAGCAACAAGATAAATTTTATGGATATATTAACACATCCTGAACCAATAGAGAAAGTCAAGATATATTTAGATAGTCATTAAAGTTAACAAAAAAATTTAAACTCTACATATGTAGGCTGAAAATCCCTCTAACTGCCCAATTTAGTGTTCATCGCAGCTAAGAGGGTTGCTTTTTATATTTCAAGCTTCCCAGATATTTCACTTCGCTGGATGCTAATGCGCTTTAAAAAAAAACATTGAAAGTGTCGGAAATTATGAAAAATAGTCACAACAAAATATCACGATTTAATTTAAATTTTTTGATGAGTGAAATTTAAAAGTCAAACCAAGGAAGACTAAATAAAGCTATATAATATCAAAGAACGTTTTCGAAAGCAACTGATAAGCAGTTCACTCATACGAAAAAATATTTAAATATATATGTTTAATCAATTACTCACTTATTGTCCTCCAGCGAGAATGTCTCCGACGAACCGTGCGAGGCCACCGAAGTACCTGCAAGCGAACTTCGTATTGAGTGCGAGTCCTCGGGTACGTTTAGCGTTACTAGCATTTTTATTATTTATTATATGTACGTATTTTTTAATTGGTTTTTTATTTTGTAATTTAATTTAAGGCAATTGTCGGTGATGGAAATTTTGTTGTTGTTTATTGTTGTGGTTAGAGAAAAGTTGTAATTGTGGCAAAAGTTGTTTTTCCATGAAATTTTTGGGGATTGTAAATTTTTTTAGTCGTTTCGGTTTTGTTGTACGTGAAAGTGGTTGTTGTTGTCCAATTTTTTGCGTAACAGTAAACGAATTAAACATGAAATTTTCAAATTTTAATTTTTCATTTTTGTTGTGCATTTATTTTAACATGGTTTTTGTTTATCCAATACACGTTTTTTAATTCGAGTTTTTTTTTAATTTTCGTTTAGGGCCACATTTAATATTTTTTGTTTCAACCAAGCCAATATTGTTGTGAAATTATTTACAAAAGCGAAAAATATCAATTTTTTTTATTAATATTTTGTATGTAAAATTCTTATGTTTGTATAAATTTACTTGAATAAATGTGTAGAGCACTACTTGTTTGCAATAGAAGAAGAGAGTAAGTAAATAATTTCGTTGTTTTTTTTAAATACATAGGAAAGTTGTGTTTGCAAGTGTGTGTGTGTAGCGTTGCGCCTAGCTATATAAAGTTTGAAATCGAAATTGGGAAGTACATACATACATATGTATATGCGTCGTAATGTTAGTAGTTGAGGGGAAGTTAAGTATGCAAGGTATTCATTCTATTTACTGTTATGCAGAGTTTGCAAGCTAATTGACAAAGTACGCAAGTTTTCGTAAAATGAGGTTTTCAGAAATCGGAAATATGCTAGTTCGTGCGCGTGGCCTTAGCATAGTCACGACTAGAAATATTCCATTATTTACGATATTATGAACTATATATTTTTTATGAAATGCATTTTCGGGTGCATGCTGAATATTCAAAAAATAAAAAATAAATTATACAAATACAAATTATTATTACGTGCTTACGTGCGTAGTTGTATGCAACTTTGAGATAGTTTAACACAATTTTTTTCGATTGAACAAACAATTATAAAAATGCAATTAATAATTTAGAGCATAAAACGCGCATGCTAAAGAATTTATATAAGAATAATACATTTTTTAACAGATTTGTTAAGTTATAAATACCAATGATTGTATATAGATATTATTTCTTTCGAAAAAAATGTAGAAAAATACATATACAAAAAAAAATATATATTATATATAAAAATTAAATATTTAAAAAAATATATATAAATAAAAAATTTATAAAAAGTAAAAAATTATGAAATAAAAAAAAGAAAAACAAAAAATAAAGAAGCAAAAAAAAACCTTATTATAAAAGTTTCATATAATACGTGTGGCTGATACTACTAGTCACTAATTTTTATATTTTAAACTTTTTAGGCAATTTTTTTTATTGCTTAAGAATATTTGCAAATCACTAACCAAGTGCTATGAATTGCAAAAATTATAACCTTAAATTAGTAATATTGTCAGAGAGAATTAAAAATAAGTTGATGAAGAAAAGTTTTTATGCAGAAGACTATCAACTAAACAACCGTTTGCAAATAATCGCTAATGGGACGTCAGCAGAGCAGCTGCTACTAACAACTTTACGATTTCCACCAACAAAAAAAGGTTTCATCGCCAAAATAAGCTTTGCACTTTTATATTTTTTAATGTACATTATAAAAAATTACTTCTAATTGAAGCGAAATAGGTCAAGAGTTTTTATATTGTCCAAAAACAGCTTTGAACACATAAAAAATCCTTTGTTTAAATTTCTAAAAATATTAATATGTTCTCATTTGCTTCAGCCGAATTGTATTTAATGGATATGTGAATAAAAAATCATAACTTATAAATAAAATCATATTTATTTAATTTATTTTTTATGTTTATTTTAATTTCAGTACATTTTTTTAATGCTAAAAACACTACACTGCAAAGTATGAAATGCGTAGACTTTCAATCGATTTGTACAAATAATATAGGTATTTAGCAAAAACATTTGCATGAAAATTCGTTAACTTTTAAAGCACTTTTTGCAAGTTACTGACGCCAGGCGTACAAAAAGCGCTAACTAATTAAATGACATTGTAAATGCAAAAAATTATATATATTTCACATAATATATAGTAGGTATGTATATATAAGTATTGTATATAGATGAAGTAAATAGTTGTAAATAAATATCATGGTACAGGTATCGCATTGTAAGCATACTATATAATTAAATAAGTATTGGTATACAGTATAAAATAGTTATATAGGAATAAAATAGGAATTACAAGTTTATGTTATAAGCACAATGAATAGACATACATATACATATACATACATATGTACATACACACAGCCATACATATGTACGTATAATATATACAATGATTGAAATTATAGACTTTGAAGCTAAATCGTTACAAAATAAAAATCGTGCAGGTAATTAACAATTTGAAATATTTCTGAAAATCTGGCTTGAGCGTCTAAATATTAGCTTTGCGTACATACAATACGGTATTCTGGAACAAAAATGGAATTTTAGAGACTTTTGTGGAGAAAAAATATTTAGTTTCTAAATAAGTTTTATTCAAAAATATTATCAATAATTATTTATATTATTTAAAAATGCAAATCAAATATTGTGTGTGTAATTACAATTTAATTAAAACAAACTAACTGCATGTGTCGTTAAAGTTAAAAGGTGCTATACACACTTTAGAAGAAATACAAAAATTAATTTTATGTTATATAAAATTCCGAAATTTGAACAGTATCTGAAATAAATTCTTGTTATTTGCTCATACAATCACAAATGCAAATTAATCAGTGGTTCCCAAAGGTTTTTTTTGACAACAGATAACAGTTAAAAAGTAGATAAACTCAAAAATATATTTTTTGCGTTCTCAAGCTACATATATTCTAAATATGTAAATAATCGTAGTTTCATCGAAATTATGTTTGCGAAATATGTATAAACTTTTTAGAAATTAGCGAAAATTCATTTAAGCGCACAATATTTGCTGAGTGTGTAATTATTATTGAATGTTTAACTGTATCTCACAGAAGCTAAAGTTAAATAATATAGCTAGTAATTTAGTAATATATTCAGTACCATTTTCACTTAATAACTTCAGTGGAAAATATGTAAATACTGTATTAAGTAAGATAATGTTTACAATAAGAAATGATTAGAATAAAATAAGAATAACAAATGGTTTAAAGCATGTAATTGAAGAGAGATTCTAAAGTTTACAAATACATATTGAGAAATTATAAAATTTAACTAATTACTTATGCTTTTTTTTAGCAATGGCAATTTTTTATAAAGTATACACTCTTAGCAGCATGTGTGCTTAGCAAAAAAGCAAGCTACAATATGGAAAATAAAATTTTTAAAGTTATACCATACAATGCTAGGAGTTATATAATAAATTTTGCTATATAATTTTATATGTGTTATAAACTGAATATAGCGAATGCGCTGCCCAGCAATGACACCATAACTTATAGTAGCAATAACAGCTACTGGAATATTTTTTAACAGCTGTTAAATTAATTATATTTATAACAGCTGTTGATTGGTTTCTGTATATTCTGTAACTGTCAAGCAGCTTTGTAATTAATTTTTGGCAATAGGAGAATTCAAATTAACATAAAAATATATGTGTAAACCGCATAATTCTAATACAAAAATTTTTGTAGTAAAAATTAAGCACTTTTCGGTTCGATTTGCGACACAAATTTTCATATTAATATATTTCATATTATAGGCTGTTATTTGTTAGTATTTAAGGTAAGAAATTTAATTTATAACAAAAAAAATATTAAATGTAATCTAAAAAAAAACATTTTTCAATATTTTGTGAGCAATATTACTGCAGTTTTGCGCGTTTACTATATTCAGCCTATAAATATGCAACCTTTTTTTTAAGTATTTTTCAAACAAAACATATTAAATGCTATAATTTTTTATATGTATTTTATAAACGCAATAGCATTACATTATTATAGCATATTTTAGGCTTAAGGCTAGTTAAATTGGCATATTGTAATAACTACATACATATGATTAATGTGGAATTACTTAGTTTTTTTTTGAATATTTTCTAGTATATAAATTTATAGCCGAGTATTTTGTACGCTGAGTTCATCGTCATCAATGTCAGCATTTTCATTAAAGTCTGGCGGTAAATCAACAACATTCGAATAGTCAACGTCAATGTCTGTATGATTTTGTAACGGTAACATTGTATGGCTGTAACTATAACTATTACTGTGCCTATGTAAATGACTGTGGCTGTGGCTGTGATTGGGACCATTATTGTAGGCATTGTTGTCAATGTCATTGTATAATTTATTGTTGGTGGTGACAACAAATCCATTACTATACAGTGAATAACTGCTAACAGCCGGTGAGGTGGCTAAACTAGTGATACTTCGATACGTTTTCATTGAATATGCATCACCTAAAAGAAGAATTGGGACGAAGATGGTGGAAACAATTTTGTGTGTGTTTGAGTGTTGGTATGTTCATGGGTAAAGAAACAGAGAAAGAGAGAAAGTAAAGTAATCATCAAAATAATAATCATTCAACGGTTGTCATCATAATAAGAAGAATAATACTTTTAATTAAATAATATGTATGTTTTTACGTATGTATGTACCAAAAAAAGTTAAAACCATTTAAATGTTGAAATGTTTACAACATATGTTTTAAATAGGTTATAAAAGGCAGACAGTGAACGATTGAGAGAGAGATAAGAAACCAATGACAAAAATATTATATAATTGATGCGAAAATGTTAATTTACAAGAATACACATATGAGATATGAGTATATAATTATGAAATTGTACTTCAAGTGAAGCTGTAGAAATTGAGAAAACGGGATTCAATAGTATATTATATTTATGTAAGTAATAAGATATAGCAACGGATCCATTTACGAGTAAGTAGTACCTGTATTCCACCATAATTATTATATTTGGCAGTATGTATGTA